TCATCTGCTGGGAAAACAGAGCTAATTGGGAAAACAGAGCTAATTACTAAAAGAAGCTTAACAAGCTGATAAATAATGTTGGTTCTGTTTCAGGAACTCCTCTGTAAACCACTGGAGATAATTCTTCATAAAATGAAGAGCATTATGTACAACCCTGAGCATCCTCTTCAGCAGACTTTTAAACAACAGAGGGTCTTGAATTAGAGGCTTCACCAGATGCATTGCGAGACAGACCACTTCAGATCATCCTTCCTGCCTACAGTTAGCTGAATAAAAAACAAAAATAAAAAATATCTGATACGACAAATAATTAATTTAGGATTAATAAAACAGAATTGAACTGAATTTCATTGAAATGGAATTGAAGTGAATTTAATTTTGCAAACCATGTATCCTCAAAATCCTTATTTAAGTGACTTTTAGCTGACACTTGTTTTGCATAAAAAAATTGTTGATTATATTTTTTTATTTTTTGTAAATGAAATGTTGTTAAATGTCAAAATGATTTAAATCCCCTATAAAATGCTTGGATCTAAACCATACTGCATACAAAAATGTCCTCCATTATTGTATAAAAGACTCATTGCCAGTTGTCGCAAACACTTAATGTCAGTTGTTGCTTCCAGCCATTAACATATAAGGGGAATTATTTTTTGTCATGGAGGCAAGGTTGCTTTTGATTGCCTTTTTTTCTAAATGTATAATAGAAATCAGCATTTGGAAACTTTAATTTTAATTTACTCTGGTTTATTTGTATTAGATCACAGGTTTTTTTCTTTTTTTCCACTTTGTGAAACTATACTAAAGAACCCTCTATCCATGTTAGTTTTTAATTTTATTTCTTTACTATTTATGTTTGTTTTAATTAATTCCCTGGTGATTATTTGAAAGTCGAGTTTTTCCATTTTTCTGCCCACGAGCTTCTGAAGGGAGCCAACATTTCTCACGGAGAAAGAAACTTCTCCTGGAAGATGTTGTCAGGACGACTGTGTTTCTATTGGTGGCTGCGAATGTGCCATGGCAACCACAGACTTTGGTCCATTTAGGTTCATTAAATGTTGGGGTCGGTGAAGAAGTCAAGGAGTTGGTGGAGAGCTCCAGGTGACAAACATTTTAACTACAGACTGTTTGGAAAAGTTTAGACCTGAAGCATCACACACTTTGCAGAGGATGAGCGCTTCTGCGCTGACTCATTCAGAGGCTTTGTCCAACAGATCAATAAAGGCATTCAACCCTTCGCTAAATTTGTCTTTTTTTCCGCAGGTGCCAAGGTCTCTAACAAAAAGGAATTTGAAGGATTAGGCCACAAAATAGAGGAATCCTGATCCCTCAATTTAATTCGATTATTCTTTCCAAAGCACCTGATTAAATAAAGAACACATGCCAGTGAGCCAAGGCACTGAGGAACAGGGGTCTGTTTGGGATTATGGTAACGCAAATAAGCCTAAAAGGATTTGACGTGTTATCTGTCCGCACAAAAGTCACATGTCAGAGATGATGCTACTGGCGTGTTTTTTTTTTTTTTTCATTTTTCAAATCAAGTGTCCTATTTTCAATTTAAGGCCATTTATTGTGTGGGTGGGCTAAATGAATGTGTGTCTATGTATGTGTGTGTCAGAGGGCTTTATAAAAGGTCTGGAGGGTCGACTCAGATCTCAGTTAAGAGCTTTAACATCAGAAGAGGTGTTTCCACTTTGACAGAGGAAATGTAAGTACCTATAATTAATGTTTGTCCATCCAGCCTTTACATTTATTAATTTTAAATGTTTGTTTATTCTTAAAGTGTATGAGACTATATTTTTAAAAAGAGGTAAACGTGATTAAATTGAAAGTAAGCCTCTGAAACTGCATTCATTGTTGGTTAAATGATCATGTTTAAAAGGGATTTTTGACAAATAAGTAAATAATACAAGTATGATATGCAATATTGTTTGGTATTCTGCATTTAAACTTCAGATTGTCTTCAGATAATCCAGATTTCAGCTGAAGGACAGAATTAGGAATTATTTCATTTCAGCCAAGAAAACATAGTCTCAGTTTAGTTTAGGTAAACTGTCTTATAATCTGTCCAAACAATGTTTTCTTTTATCAAAGTTTGTACAAGGATGTAAAATTGATCATTTCAAATTTTTTATGCAGGATTTAGTGTTGTTGCGATTTTTAATGACGCAGTTGCTGAAATTTCTTTAGTAAAAGACGTAGATTCTTTTTTTCAACTGTGATCTTTATGAAAGGTCAATGGTGAATATTTATAGCAAATACATTTTGCTTTGTAATAATAACCTGAAGAAATACTTTTCTTATTACCATATCGTTAGTTTGACAGTTTGTATCCTGCACTTCGGATATATTTCTCCTGCTTTTTATCGTATGTTTATTTCTTCTGATTCTGATTTTTTTTCTGATTTTTCTAATCATTCAGAAAATGCAGATCTCCCACCGTACTGTGCTGCTTTTCGCTGTGATGGCTATTGTCATCTTTCATACCAGCCATAGCCAACAGAATGAAAGGTGAGCTTATCAAATCTCCCTTATGCTTCTATGCTGACAAATGCATGTTGTCTGGGGGAGATTACACAAATATTATGTTAAAACAATAATAAGATGACATTTTAAGTTATTTTAACTAAATGTATTTATCCAAAATCTGTTCTTGTTTTTTTTTTTTTCTTTTATGGGGATGTAAATCAATGTTGTGATCCATTAATGCGTAACCTTTTTATCTTTAAATATGCACCATTGGGTTTCTACTCTTTTTAGGGCAGAAACAAATTCTTGCGTGATTTGAGAAGAAATAAAGATGTATATCAAAGAACAGTTTAACATCACACATCATTATATCCTATATGCAACATGGTGTCATCCGAATAAAAAAAAAAAAACAAGATCTATTGAAATGTAACTTTAGGAGTTATCCTCCACATTTTCTAGAAAAAGATGTTCGTACATTTGTAGATGAATCTCCTTTACCTGATTGTTTTCTTTCACCTGACATTTCTTTTCAGAATGTTTTATATAAGCATTTTAAATGAGCATGTAGTTTTCAGTTACAGATTTGTCCTTTTTGATATTTGTTTTTTTTTTTTTTTTGATATTTTTGTATGCACAACAGGTTTGCACTGTGTTTATGTATGTTTCCACTTCTGAAATACCATTTTAAGTAGATTTTGTATATTTCCAGATACATAATTCCAAAGTGAGTGGAACTGATTTGTTTGTGAAAATATTTTTTGAATCATGAGGCAGTGCACTGACTTGTATTTGGCTTCCCTGCAGTCGTCGAGCAGTGACCGAACACCAGCTGATGCATGATCGTGGACGAAGCATCCAGAGTCTAAAAAGGCTCATTTGGCTCTCCAGCGCAATCGAGGGTCTTCACACAGCTCAGGCCCGCTCTGCTGGGTCTGCTTTCACTCCTTCAAAGTTCCTAAGCTCTCCTCTGAATCCTGTTCTGGACTCGGCTGGAGGAAGCCCCAGACCTGCTCAGGTTCAAAACTTGCTAAGAGACTTCTTTTATCCCCACTTGAATCTATTGGACAAAGAGCCCTAAAACCACATAAATCCACAAACAGGAAATAAAATGCAAAGAAAGATTAAACGTTTCATGTTCTTGTCTTTGAAAGGAATTATAGCTTCTGTGGTGCCAATATTTGCATTCAACAACAAAGATGTCTGAAGTAAATACATTTAAAGATTAAAGTGCATATTTTGTTTATTAGTGAAGGCCTAGCCTTAAAAGTTTAATTCCTTTTTTTGTTTTGTACTGTTTGCTTAGTAGTTAACAGGGACTGTCCATATACAGATTTTATTATAAACGAGTTAGAATGTCCTTGTATCTATGCTACACTTTCCTTTCATGATATAAAAACTAAAGGTAACATTTTTCTCATTTTTCTTATTAGTTTTATCTGTGGTAACAACTAGAAATAAAAGTACTACACATATGTTAAAAAAAGAATCATTGATTTATGCGCCCCATAAAGATGCATATAAAAATAATAATAGTAGAATCAGGTATAATAAAATCACAGCAGTAGTAAGGCAAGGCAAGGCAAATTTATTTGTATAGCACAATTCAATACAAAGACAATACAAAGTGCTTTACATGATTAAAATATGAGAAAATAAAACAGAATCAAAGCAAGTAGGGAAAAAAAAGATTAAAAAAAATTAATAAATAAAATAAAAAATGCTGAAACAGTAATTGCAGAATTCAATATGTCTTATTTTCATAATAATAAAAAAACATGCCAGGGGAATTTTCTTTCCTGCCTGGTCGTTGTTAGTGAGGTAGGCGAAGCCAGCCAACCTACATGTTCCCTATCTAGGTTGGTAAGTTTATCTGTTTAGACCTTAGAAGCAGGGTTTTAAGCTCTATATCATCACTAACTTTATAAGGATTGTTCTTAACACATTCTCATGAAAATAGAACACTGCCAAAAAAATTGCGCTTTAAAGAAAATCAATCCAGAACTGTGGGTCTTTGTTTTTTAAATGTTTTTCTTGTGAAATAGACAACTTTGATATATTACTCAAGTCTTGGGTTTAAACTGCAAAATAATTGTTACTTCTCACATTACTTTAAAATACAAACTACCAATATTTCAAGTAATGTAGGCAAATATAGAAATTATTCTCATAGACATGTTGAGAATGTTATATACATCACACCTTTGAGCTGCATTCTGTTAGGGGTGGCTAAGGTGAATTTGTTATGTTCTTACAGAAAACCTTTAAGCCTATTCAGGGATTCCTGTTATTTCTTTTTATTAATGAGGCATGTTACATTTATGAAATAAATTAAACATGCTGCTTCAAGCAGCATTGCAGTGAGTTTTCTTTAAATCAACATTATCTTACGAAATTAAAAGGTATTGAAGGCATCCCTGATGCTGCATCATCTGATTTGTTTCTGACAGCTTTTAATAAGTGTTAATGGACTTTGTGTTTTGTGATAAAGTGTTTAAGAGAATACTTATAAGTAATTTCTTTACATAACATTTCCACTCAGTTCAATCACCAAAAAATAAAAATAAAGAAAGTATATTCAAGTTTTTCTAGGTGTTATCTGAAAGATGAGACCAGAATGTAAAGGTTTGTGGAAGAATTGGTCAAAATCACTTACTGTATGAGCTAATCATTGATGAGATGTCTGAAAAGCAGCTTTTTTTCTCTGGTATGAAATACATTTTAGTAGGTGTGTTGATTAAGATTTCTTCTCTCATTCCAGTTTATATCATACAACATGATTTGTGGAATAATTTGTGCTCATTTCTTTGCAAGTGCAAAATGTTCTTAGAATACTGGCAACTGTTGTGAAGTTCATGCAAATAGCCATATTAAACATATGTTAAGGGATTAAGTCATTTGCATATTCAGTTGTTATTTTTTTCAATATATAATAACATTTACCTCACAACATGGTCTTTAAATGTGTAAGTTGTAGTATTGCTACTAATGTGGCCTCTATACACACGAATTTTTAAAAATTGCAATGCTCCAAAATTATTTTTGTTTCCGTTAAAACTATTGCAACTTAATCTAAAATAAGATTTTAAAAAAAAAAGTTTTATATAAACATTTAGCTGCCATTTCATTTCCCTATAATTTACTGTTAATTTCATTGCTGCCTTTATGGCTGCAGTTAAAGAGTTTTCCAGTTTTTAGGCCTAAATGTCTGCAGATGTTGAAATAGCAAAAAAAAAAAAAATAAAAATAAAATAAAAAAATGAAAACAATGCATCTATTCTTTAATATTTAACATGATGAATCTGTAAGTCTTTTGTCACAATATTTTTGAATAATTGGGCCTTCTGTTATTATTATGATTATTAAAAATTTTATTTTATTATTATTAAAATTTTATTATTACAAAATGAGCGTCAAGAGTGCGTCTCTGTGTGGTTGCCTGGGAGATCCTCGTGACCGATGTAAACCTCGCGAGATTTCCGTGACAGCTAACGATAATTAGCACACTGAGTCAAGTAGGTGCTGGAACACCGGGTCGTAGTCATTTCCCTACAGCCGCTGCCGCTGCTCTGGTTTCTCTAAATCATAAACGACAAATAAAAGCGGACACTAAAAGAAAAGCGTTGCTGTCGGAACAAAGCTCCATATCTGACCCTCGGACTATCCGTGGCTTTCGTCCTTTTATCGGCAGGTCAGTCGGTGTTAGCTTATGTTAGCAGGATTTGCTTGGCTAGACAAGTTAGCCAAACCTCCATGAAGTCAACACCACTTTCTTATTTTAAAAACTCTTATGCTATTTTTGTTTATTTAATTTCTATGTTCGTGTAGTAAAAAAGGCCAAATCGAGTTAACCGTTCGAGGTCATTTTTATTTTGTTGCATTTGGTCCGTTTGAAGAAAGCTAACAGCAAACATGCTACTCAAGAACATGTTTGTTTGCTGTCGAAGATCTGTCAGCAGTTCGTAAGTTGCTGATAGATGTTGTTCTAGAATCGCAGATGCACTCAGTATGTATAGTGCCATCGGTTTGTACAGGGATTAATAGCCTAGTAGGTAAATCTTAATAAATGTGATATAAGTAGTGTTAAATGTAATTGTAGAGGGCAACATGACACTATGTGTTTTGACTTGTTTAGATTTTCCATGCTGACTTGATTGATCAGTGACAGAGATATGAGACGGTATTCAATGGGGTCACGTTGCCCTGCTGTCTAAGATGACATTTCTATGTAACAGTAAAATGTGGGGTTATTATAGTTCATTTACTTTACATGTGTCTCTGCAGCACTGAGGATATTGACATAAAAGCTAAACCATAGTACATTTATTACTGTGATTATTTCATCCTGATGGCTGAGGTCTGTAAACTGTTATCAGTATAATTTATCAACAGGTTACTTGACATTTCTGTCGTACAAACCCTGATGGTCTATGTGAAAAACCTTGAGACTCCCTGAATACATGGCTTATTTTATTTGCATTTTTTTGTTTGCTGTGTTAATATTTATTTTGTGACATAAAGGAAATTAACACATTTCTTTAAAGATGGAGTATCTGGGTTATTTAGGAAAGACAAATGCCAGAATATCTTTGTAAAGTTATAATCATAAGAAGAAATAATCATTATGCTTGGAACATTTTTTACAGGAAAATTTTGGTTGATTCTCCTCAGTGTTTATCCAGCCATATTGTGGATCTTTAGCTCTCCAGGAAGGACAGTGGCAGAGGCAGAGCCTTCAGGGATCAGACCTTCAGAGCTCCATGAGCACAACGGGGCAGCAGCAAGGAGGGGGGCTGCGTTCTCGCCGGGACAAGGACGTGGGGCACGGCATGGGCATGGAGGCATCGTGCTGGCTTTCTCCTGGTGCACTGCGAAGACTCATCGAACTTCCATCTCCTCCTCTGTCTCGGCACCAGCTGAAGAGACTGGAGGAGCATAGGTAAACACGCCGTCTGGAGTATCTAACTACTGTCCTTTTGAGCTAGTGCCTCTTATGTCTCTTACGTGTCTGTGCTCCAACACATCTGATTCAAATGACTAATGTTGTCAGTATATCATTATGTTCTGCAGAGGCCTTTTGGTCAGTTGTGTAAAATCTGGGCTAAGTTTGGACACAATAACCTGCATCGTGAATTACCTGCCTTAAGCGGTAGTGTTTATTTTATAACTAAATTAAAAATCTAGCAGTCTTCAAATAGAATTAGACTCATGCAATAGAATTTATGTTTGTAGTTAGTACATTTTAGAAATTGCTTTTCTGAACAAAGCAAAGTGAATATCAAGTCTATAAAAGTGAGTGGTGATTTGGCAAGTACTTTGTTTTTAATTAGAGTTAAGACTCATACATTGCCTGACCAATCTCTTTTTGGCGATATCGACCAATTGCAGCTAAAGAAGTTCAGGTTGTTTTGACAAACATTTTACTTTATAAAACATTAGTGATAGATTGATGCTGAATCCCAGGAGATTGTGAGCCATTCAGTTTGAGAAAACCAACCTTATTGTTCTCTGGTACTTGGTGAGTTTTCATGTGTTGTGTTTTCTCCAGTGTGATTTAAAAAAAGGAGCCTTTAACTAAGAGTGCAGTTCATTTATGTTAAGCTCTGGTTTAACGTCTGTATTTCTATTTGTAGATCAGGTTATTCTGGTCTTACATATATCATGATTTTTGCACTTCCTCCACACCTAATACTGGACTTATTTTGCAATGGGTTGTTGTAGAATTGTTGATCGATTGCAAAATTTTAAGCAGCGCAATTTCCTAAAAGGTAAGATACAAGTGGATGAGGTTTATATTTATCAGTAAAATGCCTCTTTTCCAAGTGTAAAAGTCTGTGACATCAATGTACTGAATTGCAAAGCAGGTCTTATTTTTTGTAAGAAATTGTCCCAATATTGATCAGAATCAATAGTCTCCTATTAGCATCTCTATATAGCTCTGTTTATTTGTAGGAATGGTAATTTAATCATTTCAAACCGATACACCTGGTTCTAGTTTATGGAATCTCCAGGGCCTCACGTGGTTGTTTTCCATCCCTTCAGGTACAGCAGTGCTGGCCGCTCGCTACTGGAGCCTCTGATGCAGCGGTACTGGGAATGGTTGGTTGGACAGGTCCCCTCCTGGATTGCCCCCAACCTCATCACCATCATTGGCCTCGCCACCAATGTCTTCACCACCCTGGTGCTTGTCTACTACTGCCCAACTGCCACTGAGCAGGTTGGTTAAAAAAATACCTTTATACAAATGCACTATTATTTCTACCTAAATATTTCTGTAAGCTGCCATTAGAAAACATCTGAAGAGAATGTAAATGTAAAAAAAGGATGCAAAGATAAAATTACATCATTCAAGTTTATTAACAGGGTTTCTGCGGGTCATTAAAAATCATTACATTATTATTTTTCACATTAAGACCTTAATTGGTTTTAAAATTCATTAAATGTCATTTCTGTGGCATTTAAAAGGTTTTATTTAAAAAAATACATTTATAAAAACAATTTTGTCAGATATATCAGATACAACTGGTTCTGGTTGATCGTAAAGCCGTATGTTTGGAAAAGAAGCTTGAGGCAGAGAAAAGACTAGAGAATGGGAAACTACAAATTTCCACAAAATTGACTGGAAAAGGAGGAATTCGGGACATGGCTACAGCCTGTCGCAGGTTAAGATGACGAAGGATTTTGTCGTCTTTTATATATGTGTGTGTGTGTATCTATATTTACACATGCTTACATACATATATGAGAGTCATGTGTACTTGTTGATGGCACTAAAAATGTTGTAAGAGCATTAAAAAGCATTAAATTAGGGTTACTCATTCCTGTGTAAACCCTGATTAAGGTTTTATCGTTAAATTGATTGAGAGCAAAAATATTTGAATTCCAACATTATTTTACAGATGTAAAAAACAAACAGAAATTGCCGTGTTTTATATTGCAAAATACAGTAGTGTATTTTGTAGTAGTGGGTTGGGTTGCTGAAAGATGAGTCATTTTATTCGATCAGTCACATGTCCATGGTTGTGCACAGATGGACATAAGGCCATAAATGTTAAGTCTTCAAATTTTAGTGTTTTTTTTTTTATAAGATTTTGATGAATTGATCTAAAGGTATTTTAAAAAAATCCAATCCTTTTGATGTAAATATAACTAGGCATAGTCCAAACCTCAGAAAACAAACGCTACTCTAAAGATAAGACCTATTATAAAATAAATCTTCCTCCCAGCAGCCTTATTGGAAGATCAGTAGCAAAAACCTCTTCAGTCGAATTAACAATTGCAGGCCTACTGTGTGGGTTCTTCATCATTGTTATGGCTCTTCTAGGTTATAGGCAACTACTGTAAATCATTAGATGATTAAATGAGGCAAAAAGTGAAAAAGCTTCTTTGGACTCAGAAATGTCAGAAAACAAAAACCCCACCCCAAGGTTGTTTATTTGCTGACACAGCTTTGGCATTAAAGGAAAAGTCCGGTCAGCAATGAATAACCAATGGGTCATTGTTTATACCTTAAACGAACGCATTCCTTGTGATTTAATGAATTTGGTGTTAATCAGTGACGGAGTGACTTCAGGGTGCCTAGCACCATTCTCCCTGCTTTACAAGCAAAATTCATGGGAACTACTAGACACAACTGCAATCAACAACAATGATTTAAGATTTCGGGAGGACTTCCCCATTGCCCACGTGCGTGGCAGTTGGATGTTGTATTACATCGGGTAAAAGTGGTCAGATTTTGACCATGTCCACATTTTTCAGTGTTGAAAAATTATTCTGATAACTTTTAATCCACTATGCCTAAAGTCCATGCTCAGGTGCTTTAGGTGCATGCTCTGACTATACATCAATGGAAAAGTAAAAGTCATGAACTTAAACACAGTCAGAGGATTCGAAACGCCTTTAAACCATATTCACTAATTCCTGTTAAATCGTAGCCTCAGCTGCCCTGGGGCTCACTGACAGAAGTAAGGCTGCCGTGCTTAAACCAGCGACCCTCCTGTTGCAGGACGAACCTTTGCATCCGATCCTACTGTCAGCCCAGTATTAAGGATGCTTTAACATATTCATATCTATCCTCTCATCTTCCTATGTTGATCTTTTTTTTCCTGCATATTACGCAGCATTTTCTTTGCTTTTCTTTGGTTTTACAGTAATTAGGAATGTCAGTACTAAGTGTAATAGGAAATGTTCGTTTTGTTTATAAGTTTTCTGTGGTTGTCGCCCCAGGCTCCTCTCTGGGCGTACCTATTGTGTGCAGTGGGTCTTTTTATCTACCAGTCATTGGACGCCATTGATGGAAAACAGGCCAGACGCACCAATAGTAGCTCTCCCCTGGGCGAGCTGTTTGACCACGGCTGTGACTCCCTCTCTACAGGTGGGTTAGATTGATATCTGGCTCCCTTTAAATCAGCACCTCAGTCTGATTGTAACAGCAGTTCACTCTCTGCGAATTGTAGAAATACAGCAGCTGTGTGCAATAAGTCCCACCTTGAATGTCATGATCATGTCAATAGTGTCTTTTATCCTCTTTGCAGTGTTTGTCGTACTGGGAACCAGTATAGCAGTGCAGCTGGGCACCAACCCAGACTGGATGTTCTTCTGCTGCTTCGCTGGGATGTTTATGTTCTACTGCGCCCACTGGCAGACATACGTGTCAGGAACGCTGCGCTTTGGCATGTGAGTCAAGAGAACAAATGTGTTTTGTCTCAGTCTGACCTTCAGTCATACTGATTTACTGCTGTTTTCAGATCAGCCTTTAGAGACACGTCAATATGACACACAAGCTTGTTTGTTCTTTAGAAAAGTTTTGTATTTTTCAGATGCATTATGACTAAATGAGCTTAACAGAATTAAAAATAAATAGCTTTTAATAATCAGATGAGGTTTAGTAGTTAACAGAAACTAAAACATGTGGAGAAATTCATATAGAATGTATCATTATTGGCATTTTTTCACCTGTCTTGGCCATAATATTTTTTCTCTATACTCTTTGAAGCAACAGCATGATGGGTAGGTAACAAGATGTAACTATAGCTCACTGCTTTACTTTCAACAGTTTATCTTTTTCTGTGAAGTTTTACACATTTGTATCTCATTTGAGCTGAGGTTCAGGGTGAAAAGGATTCAATAACAAAAGGGCTGAAGCTCTAAATCTTATTATTTTTTTTTTTTTTTGGAAATTAAAACTGTGTTTGCTTCAAAGCTTCTTGGTGAATTGCTAAAGAATCAAACCCTGAATAGTGTTTTCTTTTCTCTTGACCTTTTCTTTGTTTACTGCTCATTTGCAGATTTGTATTCTTTCGTTCTATTCTAGAACATTAAAGCTGATTATGTGATTGAAAATTTGCCAAAAGTTAATTTGTTCAAGCTCTGCGTAATGAAAAGGGGGCCTTTATTTTATAGAGAAAAGACACAAAACAATCTTGGAACAAGTTAGTTAGTAACCGCTTTATCCGAGGCGCTTTAAAAAGTTATCTAAACAATGATCACCCAGTAATACTGCTATTAATCCTTTCATCAGCTGATAGCAGTGAGGTGTGTGGTTAAGGTGGAGTAAATGTGATGTGTCCTGTGTGTAGATTTGACATAACAGAGGTGCAGCTCTGTCTAGCAGGATTACAGATGTTCACAGCCACTGTGGGTCCCTCCCTGTGGAACGTGATGGTAAACTTCCTGGCTGCTGCCTGCATGGCTCACTGCTGTCTGCCTCCACAATAGCCGCTGCCCTGCATGGAGTCACATTGAAAACATTTTTCTTGTCCACTTGTTGAAAAACAGTTAAAGTTAATAAATCAAACCGCCGGCTCCATGTGCAGTAATGTGTTGTGGAGGAAGGTTGCAGGAATTTGATGTGCTGGACGACTTTTACTAAACGTTACTTAAAATTCTCTGCTTTCTCCTCCCACTCAGCATTGATGTGACTGAGGTGCAAATCTTCATTATAATCATGTATTTGCTGGCCGCCGTGGGAGGATCTGCTTTTTGGCAGTCACTGGTAATTTTGAATGGTTCTAATTCCAACCAATTGACATGATAGATATGATGCAATAAGTTTGTGGTAATCTTGATAATTATAATAGAAATGTAATGCTGCTCTAACATTGTTGTTTTGACTGTTTTATTCTTTAATAAAAGAACAAACCCTCGTAGAGCTTTTATCCCCCTCTAACATTACTCTTCAGGCCTTCATTGTGAATGTGCTTTATAACATCACCACTATTGGTTTTAATCTGGTTGTTTCAGCATCCAAGCGTTACTAAGTTCACTGTGTGAACCTCTTGATTACCAGATTCCTGTCCTAAATATCCAGATGAAAATGATTCCAGCCATCTGCACTTTACTAGGAGCCGTCTTCTCCTGCACAAATTACTTCAGAGTTATTTTTACTGGAGGTGTTGGTAAAAATGGATCCACAATAGCTGTAAGTATAGAAACCTTCATCCTTGTCATTTATATTTTGTGTCAGACTTATACATTTTGATGTATTTATGGACTTGCATGATTTGTTATTATTGTAAATATGTGTATAAAGAGTATATTTGATATAATTTTTTCAGGTAAATGTCAGTGCAGCTCTAAGCTGGTGTCTTTATTTCCATTTCGTGCATGCCCCCCCTTGTAATCCGATCTCATCTGCTTCCTATTCAAATACATGCATAAACTATGTCTTCATCAGTTTGTTTTTATCTCATTAAAATGGCATTTTATCTCATGGTTGTAATCATATAATTTGCTTTGTGAAATCGAACAAGGTTAACATATGATACCAGTTTATAAGAATGATAGAAATGGTCGTTTTAAAATGGCCGGTTAAGGTATTAGCAAAGCATTTCATAGTTAGAAGCTGAAGTGAAGAAGTTTCATTATCTCCTGGTTTTCGAGTGGGTTTACTGAGCTGACGGAACCAGATGCCACATGTGGTTGAGCTGGTTTGACTAATAGAACGGAGCACATCTGTTGAAAGGCTTAAACAGAAAGAGAAGAGTAGCTCCACTACTATAAAAAATCTACTTGGCAACTAAAGTGATGAGGAATTGTTGGATTGTAAGATCTATTATTTAATGTTTAAAATGTAATCAGGTGGAGAGTTCTTTGTTAATTGAATTTTAAATAATAAAATAAAACAAAATACAAATGGATAACATAATTACAAAATACTAAACTTGTGAAAATTAAAACAAAAATCTTTTTAAATCATTTTATCATAAAACCAGTCTATACAATAGTTAATGCATATGTCTCGTTAGAATTAGGAACTTTCAGCAGAAATATCTTCTGTTTCTGTATTTTCACCTGATCTCTGAAAAGTTTTAAGTTGGTGGGAAGATTAACCAGAAAGTTTATACAATTGAGACTCGCAAGACTCCCACAAGAATGATACATAAAGATAAAAAACATGGTAAAGTACAACTACTCCTATACAGTAGCAACCATTCAAAATGACCCTTCCGAGTCGAACACCAACCGAATGGCAGCCCACTTCCCTGCAGCTCCCAGCAAAATCCCCTTCAACTTCCAGCCTCTGACCTTCTCCTGGGGGTGCATATTTTTTTTACTCTGACTGCACCCTTTCACTGAATTACAGGGTCTTACCAGGAGATAACACTTCTCTTTAGATCTTAATGTTCACAAATACTGACAGGAAGAGTATTTTAGTACAAAGATTGATTTTTAAAAAGGAATTGTAGGGGACCGGCCAAGGACCCATCAAGGAAAGTGGAGAAATTTTGAATGGCTACTACTGTAAGTAGACTAAAAATTACCTGGATAAAAGTAACTAGTTATTACCCTCATCTGAGCATTAGGGCTGGGTATTTTAGCCAAAGTCTTTAATCAATTCGATTTTGATTGGTACTGTTCTAAATCGATTAATTTCGATTCGATCTATTTTTACAATAATGAAAGTGGTTAAACTGTGTTTCAAAATACTCATCTATTTCATTTTTTCCTGTCATATTAAACACAAAGTGCAAACTTGTAAATCAGATAGCGTAAACTTGAGATCAGTCAGAATCCTGGTGCAAGAAACCCTGCTCTTTGGTTAAAGGCAGGGTACACATTTTACTTTAATGAACATTAGCAAGGCTGGTTATCCTCATCCTTCCCAACCCCTGGTTTAATCCTGATGTAAGGGCAAAGTGATGCATCAAAGAAATAAACCTGGCAGCTAAATAATAAAGAAATTAGCTTTTCTAGATCGGGAGATAATATTGTGTATATTGATCAAATATTGATTATTAGGACTCCCATGCATGTTTTCCTTACCCTGTTTTTGTTCTTTGTTCCCAGGGAACCAGCGTCCTCTCTCCTGTCCTACATATTGGTTCAGTTATAGTTCTGGCGATGATGATATACAAAAAGTCTGCAGTCCAGCTTTTCGAGAAACACCCATGTCTTTATATCTTGGCATTTGGCTTTGTGTCGGCCAAAATCACAAACAAATTAGTAGTAAGTCATCATCATATTTTTTTTCTCTGTTTTTATGTTAATCTGCGTGGGGGGGAAAAAAAACAGCGATAGACGGCTTCATCCTCTAGAGGGATCCTTTCTTTAGGAACTGGGATCTACCTCATCTTGTGTTTAAATATCTGACCTTAGTGTCCATTATATTAATTTGTCCAAAGGGATCATTCATTTAGTTATACTGGGAAGAGTTCAGTCTGACCTTCATCTTTAACACCTTTATGTAGAAGGAGGCAAGACCAGCACAGCTAAATGTTTCACTCTGAAAGGTTGCTAATGAAAAAAAAAGGGATTTAGACATACTCCCAGACTCCCCAGTTATTTGAGCTTAATAGCTTTTTGTTCACAAGCCATTTAGAAAGTTTACTAAGAACTCTAATCAGGTCACATTAGACACATCATTATTTCTGCTCAGTATTCAGTATCCAGATGGACAGTTCTAAACACCAGAGTGCAAAACCTTAAAGCTCTGGTCAATTGTCTACCTTCTAAACTTCATGCTATCAGCATTAATTGTTGGTAGATGGGATTTGGTAAACAGATAGGAAATTATTCAATTAAATTCAGTTTATTTATATGGCGCCAAATTCACAACACATATCATCTCAAGGCACTTTACAGTTCAACCAACTCATAGAGTCAGATTGGTTGAAAGTTCTCTATCTAAGGAAAACCTGCAGATTGCATCGACTCATTGACTCTTCACCAAGCATGCTTGTAGAGACAGTGGAGAGAAAAACTCCTTTAGTGTGAGCGGCCATCTGTTGAGGCCAGCTGGGGTTTGAGCAGACAGACTCTGACTTTATAAATCAAAAATCTATATTATTAATAAAAATGAACATTATGTTCTCATGTCCAATAGGGGTAACAAAGATGTGCTGCAAGATTTATTAATAAAACTTCCTGGAGAATGTTTTAATGTTAAAACACATCTTAAAATTATTATTTTCATGGATATTTAATTGTTTTTTCTCTTCAGTGATTACAGTATCAATTTCCTTTTCTTTTTAATCTCATCTGCTTATTATTCCTTTCACAGGTAGCACATATGACAAAAAGTGAGATGCATCTCCATGACTTAGCCTTTCTGGGACCGGGATTACTGTTTCTCGATCAGTATTTCAATAGTTTTATCGATGAGTACCTGGTACTCTGGATTGCACTGGTAAGTACTTGGATACTGAGTGATTTATTTAGCATATCTCACCATTAAAAAGCTCAAATACTGTTGCCATTAAATATAAACATCTATTTTATAAGAAGTTTGGTTTTATTTTTGTACAATTGTTTAATTGTTGATATTTTTAGACTCCTAATTGATTGCCACTCCTAAACATTTTAAATCCCCTTCAACCATGAAGAGTCATTAGCTCAAAGGAAGCTCCTCAGAATGATAAGATATAAAAACAAGTTTATGGGACTCAGCATTTAACCCCTTGACGCCCTTTGTTACAGATATGCAGTAAACGCTTTGTAGAACTTACAAAGCCAAGACGACACGTGCATTCCCCCTGTAGCAGCTATTACACATTCAGTGTGGAACTAGGAACCTTTGGGAAGCTCTTGTTTCTGATACAACTGTTCCCAACGATGGCCGTTTCTCAATATGTGTACTTGTGCGTTCTCATGTGCTCGTGAAACATCATCAGCCTCAGCCCTAGTACTGTTCCAATTCACAAGAACAGCAGACCGAGAACGGAAAGTGTCCTGGATGTTGTTATCGCCCCTCCCTATTTACAGAGTATGCATCAGAGCAGACCTGTGCTTTCTGAGATTGACAGCTGTCCCAGCATGCACTGCAGCAGCAGCACCTTCCAGTGGAGCGCTACTCAATAAAAAAAAAGTGCATTGTAAGATCATTTGAGGCGAAAACATTATACTTTTAAGCCTTACAATATGGCCCATTTACCGATATATAATACGTGATAAAAAATTTAAAAAAGCCAGGTCTAATCCTAGCCCGTCAGCAGCAGCCCTCACTTTGCAAAATGTTCATTTGATATGTGTTTATCGGACTATGTTAACTATTATTCCCCCAATAACTGAAAAATGTAAGAATTTATTATGTATAGACTATTAATAATAGTAGGTGAAATGCAGCTGTAGACGAGCCCTACGGCAGGCCGATTTGACATTTACTCTCTATTGTTCCCTTTGTTGATCTCTAAAATAAGATAATTCCTAGTCAAAACTACATTCCTACAAGCCAGAAATGTACATATAGACATCCTAAATTACATTTTTGCGAGCAAAAATTACATTTCAGTCTGCCAAAAATATAATTGTACTAGTAAAAATAAACTTTCAAAATACCTAGAAATCTTTACAAATTAATAAATAGTATATTTGTGAACTATTGCAGAGCCCTATTGTCGAGTAATGAAGCCCGTCTTTGTTTTTATAGAGTGCATTTATAGTTGATATTAGATGTATTTTCTTCAAAAGTTTTCAAAGTTGGATGACAAATCCATGCACTGCTCTTGTATGTAGAAGACATTGTTCTAGAAATACTGATATTCATTCTGATACTTCATTCTTAACATGGGTAAACCGACTAAAGTATTTCAAACTCAGTAAATTCAAATGTTTGGCCTTATAACTAATCTCAGATTGATGGGCAGCAAGTTTCCTCTTTTTCCCCCCTCTATAATATTTTGTTATAACACAGTTATAACAAAACTTTCATTGTTACAGAGACCACCTCTGTAAACCTCTAGTGGTCAAAAATGATCACCTCTGATCACTTTGGAACACTAGCAGTTTACTTTTCTTTCCCCTTAGTCTTGTAAATGTTTTTTACCCCACATCTCTATCATAACTCAGTTCTGTATATGATTTTTGTGAAGATTTAGCAAACTTTTGAAATGGTTTGATAAAGATTTAAAGCATTTTCAAATTAATGATCTGTTAGAAGTCTCAGATGTTCTCTTGTTGGCTGTTACTCTTGGAAAAAGTGACCATTTTCCTGTATTTTGCAGATCATTTCCTTCTTTGACCTGGTGCGCTACTGTGTCAGTGTTTGCAACCAGATTGCCTGCCATCTTCGCATTTTTGTCTTCAAAATCAAGCCTTGCTCGATCCCCAGTTCAGCTAATCACTGAGGGCACGCCGGCCATTACTGACTCTGTTCCTTCCACTTAGTCACACTCATCTTCTCCTCCCTCCGTTTTCCTCCTACAGAGGCAGGAGTCGACGTGGTTTAAAGTATGTGCTTCTGCCAACTGAGTGTGAGGACAAAATAATATATGTTAAGATACTGGAATATTACTGTCACTTGTTTCTTTTGCAGAATTGAATTTCTGGCAAATTGATGGTTACAGAGGGCAAATGTTTCAGAAGAGTACAGGTGCTACTCAGTGTCCAATGAGCGAAACTTACATGTGTTTTAACTGTATAAGTTCAACAAAACATTTAAGGAATGAATCAAGGTTTTTTGCTTTTCATGATAAGGATTTTTGTAATATCTGCCTAACTTTAACTTTTGCTATTGTAAATAGGAAAGCGTTACAGCGTCTGTGCTTCTCTTAAGTTAAAACTTCTGCTCCGACACATTCTTCATATAAGAGTTTTGTTTTTTAAAGCGACTTCATCTTCTGCACATGAATCAAAACTGTGCTGCTATTTTGAATCAGCAAAATATGTTTGTGGAGGAAACAGCAGCAGCTTTATTCTATATCTTAGTAGTTTTGGGGTTTTTTGTACTGCAAAAATATTCACTGCCAGTCCTTTCTTAGTTAAACTTGACTTTTCTTGTTACTTTTATACACTTTAAGGTTGGTTATCTTTACATTTATGGTTCAATTTTGGAGAGAGTGGGGTTACAAAAATTATTTTCACAAAGTTTGAAAACCATGGGGGAGGTTTTTATTTCTTCTGCTGAAAAAAAAACTGTTGAGTTGAAGGTCTTTTTAGTGGCATTTGTAGTTCTGGCAGAACGGATGAGGGGCTTGACAGAATATTAGTGGCCTTTTAATCTCAACAACAAACTAGTGCGAATCATTTTGGACATTTTGAGCTGTTGATAACCAAATCAGAAATGGAACAAATCCTGTTTGGGTTTAGTTTACTGTCACTTTCCTCCCACAAGAAAAAAAAAATCCCATGAAAAGACCAAATCACACCTGCACGTGTCTCACTTTTATCGCCTGCTCGATGTTTGCACCTCTTGAGTTTGTAACGGTATGTGTGGTACATTACATTACTTTAATGAAAATGTATCTAATTTTCTAAGCTGCTTGCTCCTATGTTTTACACTTTATTCTTTATAATGTTTTTTTTCTTAGATTCAGATGTATATGGGGATTAATACATGAGTGTTTATAGTATATAATGCAAATGGCTCAACTGTAACGCCACCAAGTTGTCTTTGTTTTGAAAAAAATGACTCATTTGTTCCTTTTTTTTCTGTCTTTTCATGGGATTTATGGATAAGAAATAATCAGAGTCCTCCTGCGATCAGTACGATCTTACCGTTTCCCCTCTAAACACATATCTGCTGCAGCAGAACAGGTGCACATGTGAATGAGTGCGCAGGAGATGAGGTGAATTAACAGGCTCATGTTTTTTTTTTTTTTTGTAATGACTGATGAGAGTCTGATTGGGTTTAATAAAACCTAGTTTATTCTGCGCGGAGCAGCTGCTGCTGCGCGTTCACCTTATACTGGCGATGCGTTAAAGATGGCTGCTTCTGGAGAGAGTCCACAGTGATGGTCTGGATTCATGCATAGATGCTTGCTTATGCATTTTGTGCCTGTTAGTGTTTAAGTTTCTTTTCCAGAGTCTGTTTCTATGCATCTACATCTGTAATGCCAAGTCTTGAGTCAAAGTTTCGTTTCTTAATTTCCTTTTTATTTTTTTTTTCCTTTTTTTTTTTTGGATGGTGGTGGTAGTAATCCAGATATCAGAATATATCTTTGCATGATTGTTAAAGGCCTGGTTCACCCAGATCACATGTGGTTTGAAGAAATAATTGGTAAAACATGATTATCTGAAAAGGAACATGTAAATTAGGAAGGATGTTTAATTGTTAGATGGCTCCAATCTCTGGTTGTTTGAAAACTTCAAAAAAATGCAGCTTAAAACTAAAGTTTTGGAATTTATTTGAAAATTTTGTAGAGAAGTAATTTTGGAACTAAGGAAAATAAAGTTGTTTTTAATAAAATGAAATCTTTTTGGAGTGTAAATAATAATTAGATTTGTGGATGATCCCATTAGAACAAGATTAAAAATGAATCAGAAGGGAAATTACTTCAGTAGTCTGAAGTTTTAGCGCTATGCTTTCCAAAAACCTCCCCTTTATAAATCAGCTGATGAAAGAAATGTTTTTATATCAAAATCACTGTGACTGAATATTTAGCAATTATGATTTTCAAAGCTTTGTTTGACTCCAAACTAAATGTGGCTCCATTTGATATTTCAGGATGTTGGGATATCCAAGACTTTGAACTTTATTAAACTAACAATCTGGAGGGATTGGGGTGATCTAGGTCATCAAGACAAAGCTGAGGGCCCCACATTGTGGCTTTGGTATGAAATACAAGATGCATTTAAGAGGTCTGTCATTTTCAGTCCGTCTTCTGTTCTCAGTGTTCTATGAGGAATGAGCTGATTCCTTAATCTGCATGTCGTAGTATTCCACTGTACAGTTTGTATTTGAAGAGGCTTTGTATGACTTCTACCTGGAAACTCAGCTGATCAACATTTCCTAACGAGACTGTGAGGTCGACCGTCATTGCTGCAGCTTGTATGCTTATAGTTCCTGACATCAGGTCCACTCTCATCTGTGAAGTAAAAAAAAAAAATGCCTTAATGAACTCATTTGTTTTCTATTACTTTGTATAAAGAAGCCTTTCTGGATTGAGCGTGTTCACTGTGTGTCCGCGCTCCCAGAGGCTTGTGGGAAGGTTTGTCTTCTGTTGGCCAGAATGCAAAGCTCAGGTATTTCACCAGTGTGCACCACAGTGTGTTGGATCACCTGACAATCTCTGCTTCATCTAACAATGCAAATAAATTTCATATTCCCACCTGGAAACTGGGTTTTTATTATGTCTCAGTGGAAATGTTCAATTCATTTGTTGTCACTATGGTTTTGTTGGCTGATTTTTTTTCTTTACTATAAAACTCGTCTCTCTTTATTCAAGGATGACGAGGCTTTAGAAACCAGTTCTTTGTCTTAAAACATTCCCATCACTTCTTTTTTGTTGTTTTAATGTGGTCATAAATGACAAGTCATGATGATTAGTAGCTCAATCACATCCTCTTTTGCCTCTATTTGGGGATTTTCCTCTACTCACGGAAGATTTTGAGTTTTACATTTTAAGAAATTAATGAACCAGTTTTTTGTTTTTTTCAATTCTAAAAGATCGAAGTAATGAGATGGGGAAATATATCGGCATGATTACAGTTACATGTAGCTGAATTACATGGAAAATGCAAGACTGCTTTAGTGAAGCGATTACAAATTTGTTCTCTCATTTGTAAAGTAAGATTTAAACTATAGTGGTGGACATTAAAAGATTTCTGGATTTTTAAATCAAAGTTAGAGGATAAACACTATAAAGTAAACCATAAAAATTAAGTGCATTTGTAATGTTTAAAACTAAAATCATATATTTAGAAAAAAAACTAGGAAATTAGCTTTAAAAAAAAAAAACAAAGCCTGATTTCACAATAATAATATAAAGTCTGTGCAATCGTTGCGTAGTTTGGGTGCATCAGGTAATGCATTATTGCAATGTGGCACATTGAGACACCAGTAAACTGTTCTTACTTTAACAGGGGTCTTCAGCTCATTGCTTTGTCTCTTATCCTTTTGAAAATACAGCATGAACACTGTGGCCTTTTTAGAAAGCTTTGCTGAAACACAGTGATATCTTGGTAAGAACAGGTATTTGTTATGAGGAGGGGTCCCAGGTTGAGCAAAAAGTAAAATATAGAGCTCATCAATGGGGGGAAAGCATGATTTGCTCCAAACTTTCCTTTTTGGGTAACAACTTCATCTGGATTAAAAAAAAAAAAAAACATAATTGGACCATCATCAGTAGATCGCATTAATACTGTTCTGTGGAAAACTTAAGCTAGACCTGAAGCAACGCCAGACTTCAATTTCATGAAGCTATTTTAATGTAAAAACAACATTGTTTTTCATCTGCCATGTAGGCACTTTTGACAACTCTGGTTATAAACTGGTCTTAATTCAAGGGATGTGACAGTTGTAACGTGTCATGGATACTGACCTATCTCTGTTTTCCCTCCACTAAACTTTCCTTGACCATAATCCCAGTGTTCTGTGAACTTACATCTATTTGATGACTATTATTTAGTGGTTTACTCGTCTTATTCTGGGTGTCTGTGACTGCCAGACATCTAAAGTTAGCAGTCATTCCAATGATTGAGTAGTCCACAAAAGCATAGGATGTATGTCAATAATGAAAGGCTTTTATGCGATGTGGGATTTAAACCGATGAACATGTATTTATATTCTTATATTTTAGCACAATGGTTAAATATAGGCAGTGTAGCTGTATATTAGTCTCTATCCTTATTAAGTTACATTTCATATTCTTCTTTTTGTTAAACCTGATGTGTTAGACTGTATGGAAGAGGATTAGGGAAGCTGAAAAAATACAAGTTAACTGATTTTTGATTTATTTATTTTTTTTTCATTTTAATATGGGAAAATAGTAAGAATTCTGAGAAAAAAAGTCTGAATTTTTACTTTTTTCCTATATTAAACTGAAATAAAATTCAAAAATCAGTTAACTTTTTTATTTTTCAGTGGCCCTAATCCTCTTCCATAAGACCATGGGCAGAGGTTTGTATAGGGACCATAGGGACATGTCCATACCAAACTTTTGGACCAACCTACTTGTCACTACCAACAATTAAATGTGAATAACATGTTTATAATTTACAATACGGCCTTGTTGTAGCAGTAGAGAAGTTCTGGATGGAGAATGTTGACAGATGAAAACATGTTTTTATCTAAAATGCCAAATGCTTATTAATTTTTTTTTTTTTTTTTTTTTACAATTTTGGTATAATTCCTGCTCTAAGTGGGTTTCTTTGTAAGCTAAAGAAATGTTTTAGTCTATACTCCAGTTAACGATTAATCGATTACTAAATTGGTTAACATTATTTCAATAATTGATTAATCCGATGAATAGTTTCAGCCCTAAATAAAATACATGAAATGGGTTGAACAGAGTAACTACAGCCTAGATGTACAACTTTTAAAGTGACGGTAATATATTAAATGCTCAGTGTCAGTTCCTCTTCTAGTTCCAGTGCACATGTAAATACATTTATTTTGCGTCCCTAGAATATATTATTTCGCTTTGTTTCCTGATACAAAGAGAACATTTAAAAGATAAAAGTGGGTTTTACCTCTGCACCATTCTATATCTTCAAAATTTAAAAAAAGTATAAATCCACAAATAGCAGACATATTTAGACTATATTCTGTTAAATAGGCACAGATTTACCTACTGTCTCAGTCACTGATAATTTCAAATGCAAACCTTTTCAAAATAGAAAAAAAGTCATAATTCCACATTCATCAGAGCCAGTTAAGCTTCAGGCATTGATAAACAGCATCTAGTGTGTGTAGTGCTTATAAAGTTTGTATAAATGTAGCAAGAAATGCTGCTTTTCTCTTTAAACAAAATACAACCTGATTTTCACGTCAAGCATAAAAAAACGAGCAGCATGCATAGTTTTGCATAAGACCAATGACATCAGACCAACAGTGTTCCTAACAAAGTTGAAATCAGACCTACGCTCTTGCGTAAGAGTGCCTGGCAGGCAGAACGCAGGGCATAAAACGCAAAGTGCTGGAGTGCGCATGCGCGGCTCATCAAAGGAGGAAGCGGCTGTTGGTGAAATGTTTAGAAGCTTTTAGTTTGATCAGATTATTTGCGTTAGAAGGAGTGGTGCAGACAGGTAAACAAGTCTGCGCTCCTGTTCATGCCTCTCAGATATCTTTATTCCAGCTGCTGTTGTCGTAAATGAAGGTTATGTTCTCTGGAAGAGCGGAATAACGTGAGTTTCATTATTTTTCTTTAAATGGTACCGAATAGAGGAACCTTTTATTCCTGCTACTGTCTTACAGCTCATATGAACATGTGACACACAATGAAAGTTTTACTACTTTAGTCAGTAGTTTATATTAAAACCTGTATAAAATAAAATAAAAATCAACAAACCTAATGTTATGCTTAAGAAGAAATGAAACAAACCGATATCCGCATTCCTTAGCTAGTTTGTTCAAAGTTGTTTATTTTTTTTATTATATATATATTTTTTTATTTTAGTTGATTTTTAACAAAGGATTTATATATCTTTGTGTTTGGTTAAATTGTCGCTATTTATAATAATTAAGTTGGTAAATAATTAAGCTTTAATAACATTTTATGATCGTTTAATCTACGTTTCATTTCAGGAGAACCAGGAAGTGAAACCTGACTGGTTTACTGAATTAGAGGCTCAAATTAATAATGAAAAAAAAATGTTTTGTTGTTTTGTTGTTTTTTGTTTTTTTTAAAGGTCATAAATAAAAAATTCTGTGCATTTTAAGATCTTCAGTTATATTTTCACTCTAGGTGTTTCATTAGATTTTAGTTGAAGCCTGTTCAAACATTTTTTTTGTTTGTTTCTTACCTGAAGTAAGAAAGTTGTTTTTTTTTATAAATAATTCATCCTAATTTAATCTGTAATCTAAAGACTGTGTAATAGGCATACAATACACAATTACTGACCAGTTGAAATGTTTATGTACGCCTTAGATCAGTGAGGATGATCAAAATAATCTATTTGCTAAATGCCAGAATGATTTTAACAGAGATCATAGCACAGGATGCTGCTCACTTCTTAACTTAAAAAGGCGATAAGAAAATGAAATCTTGTTCACTGACCAATGGACAGATGATCTCTTTTATCTTTTCCAAGGGTTTGTGCTTCGTTCTGAGCCACATTGCCCACATCATAAAGCAGGCTGCTATTAATGACTGTTTCATGCAGGACGGTGAGAATCAGCTGCGAGGGGAACATGTGGTGGTTTCAGCAGGGTCTCTGCTTCCTGCCCGCCGCTTTGGTCATTTGGACTGTGGCGTCCTTCATCTTCGCCTACGTCACAGCGGTGGTACTGAGACATGTGGATCCTCTGCTGCCTTACATCAGGTCAGAGCTGGAGGATAATAATCTGACAGTCAGGATGATGGGTGATGGAATATGGTTTTATAATTTCTTCAGAGGATGGAACATAACATTTTAAGTGGTGGTTTTCACATTTAGAATTCTAATGATTTGTTTTATTCCTAGAGTCCTGCAATCTGATTCATAAAAGGCTTTTATTCATCATCTTTGTTGGTTGTCTTCTTTGCAGTGACACAGGAACTATGGCACCAGAGAGGTGCGTGTTCGGGATCATGCTGGATGTGTCGGCCTTTTTAGGTGAAGCTAAACCTCATTCCTCATGGCGATAAGGACCTACACACCAATGGACAACCTTTTAATTTCGTCCCTTCTACATGTGTGTGACATTCGCAGGCATCGCCACGGTGTACGTGCGTTACAAACAGGTGGAGGCTCTAATCGATGAGAACGACATCAAACTCAAAAGGCTGAACCGCTTAGGGCTGGTCCTCGGCTGGATAAGCTCCTTCGGGATGTGTGTGGTGGCCAACTTTCAGGTATGTTTTGCTGTCCCAGGATCAGTGTGTGAATTCCCTGAAGTTTTTTCCCTCAGCTGAGCTCCCATTTCTCCCCGTCTGAGCAGAAGACCACCCTGTTCTCCATGCACCTGGTGGGGGCAGTGCTGACATTCGGCGTTGGAGCGCTCTACATCGTGTTTCAGACGGCGCTCTCGTATTTCATGCAGCCGCACATCCACAGCAAGACTGTGTATCGGGTTCGGATCGGAATTGGAGTTTGGACCATGTGCAGCATCATCAGCAGTATCCTTAACTTCTGAAAGCACATATGTAGCGATCACATGAATGATGATGCCAATGTTTCACATGATGACTGAAATTCCTTTGGTCTTAATGAAATGTCTGTGACACAGTTTGCTTATAACTGATTAAGGTTTCAGTCCATATGCCCTTTATGTAGCATCGCTTTAAAGTCACTGGTTTTGTAGCTGATTTTAGTGAACATGAGACACTAAAGTTGTTGTTGTTTTGCGTCTTCCTTTGTCTACCATCTACATGAAAAGTCTAGTATAAAATTACCAACCAAAATCCAGGCATGAGTTAAAAAGTCTTGTTTTAAACTGACCCAAATTATTACAAAGCACCATCCGATCGATATAAACAGAGTAGTAAAATACCAGACCAGCAGGCTCAGTTAAAACAGGCTTGCTATTTAATTCCCTTGTCATATGACATCTTTATAAATTGCTAGCTTGTGATGCAGGGTTTATTACACTTTGACACGGAGCTATAAAACCTGTTGATTCCCCTCATTGTTGTTGGTGTAAAGAAAGGAGAGAACCAATAATCATCTGGCTTTTTTTGGCTGAGAGAGATTTCTGATTTGACCTGCTGATTACAATTTGTTTTAAATACCAAAACACTTAAAAAATATTTGCTGGAGGCTTTTTAGATAGAAGTGTTTATTTTAATTCAAACAGAAAAAAAAATTATCTAAAGATTTATGCAGCAAAGCATTTAACCACTAAGATTTTTTTTATAAACCCCAAAAAGTTGCATTGAAGGACATTTTTTTGTACTGAAAATGGTTTTTAATTCTTAGTTTTGATGCATTTATTGGATTAATTAATTATACTCATCATTTCTCATTAATGGAAAAGCATCTGATTCTGAGCATTCAGATTAATCAATGATCCTCTTGTATAAAATAGATACTTTCAAGTTGTTTAGATGGGATTATAAGGGAAGTGGGCCTCTTAACAACTAATCAAGTATCATTTGTTTACCAGAAAATGAGAATTGCTCACTGAATAAGAGAGGAACCCAGAACCACATGTTTAATTTCAAGCAGTTGTCCTTAGCAGCGTGTCAGTGTTCGTGTCATCGGTCATCATGTACAGCACGCTGTCAGGAGTGGACGTACCCCGTAAGCTGCACTGGATCCCAGGAGAACCGGTTTGTGCTTTTTGCCATTTATTGTATTTTTTCCAACACTTTTCAACATAAATGTAGATTTTAAAGTGCTTATTTATAAATATTTTTAGATACTAGTATGCACCAATGGATAATAGATCTCTAACTGAACCAGAGCAAAAATCAAATATATATATATATTTTGTTGATATTAGACACAGATGAATTTTAATATTTGTGCGATCCTCTCAGGGTTACGTGGCCCACATCATCAGCACTGCTTCTGAGTGGTCCCTGGCCTTCTCCTTCATCAGCTTCTTCCTCACATACATCAGGGATTTCCAGGTAGTTTGTCCTGCTGTTTTACGCCTCTGTGCTGAAACTAAAATTCAAAATCATCTGAGTTTAATCCAACAGAATGAACACCTGCAGATAACATCAGTCTAGTACGGAGCTGTCTCTATGCTATGATTTTAAACCATATATACATTTGTAATTATTTTTATTTTATTTGCCCCTTTGAACAGCAGTGGTGTTCCTAACTTACTAGAGGTAAAAACAAATATGTATTGTTCAAATCACAGATAATACTATATTAATAATATATTTACATATAATATATTTACATATAAATACCTGACTTGTTTTATTTTTATTGAAAAAATACAACTTAACAAGGAATCCATCATAATTTCAAGATTCCCTTTTAATATTTTTTTTTCATTTGATTTCAAATTTTGTGCAAATATTTTTATTAAAAGTTTCAATCAAGTTTTAATTTGTTCTTTCAGTTCTATAAATAAGATGAATCCTAACTCGATTCCCCATCATTATTTAAAGACTTCCTGCACCAACTTTATTAACTTGATCAGGTATTTGTCATGTGGAGACTAAGGCTGCTGAAAATCTGAAGGTTCATGACTGATTCAAACAGGTTCATGAGCACATCAGCGCTTCTTCCTGTCTACTGATGTGTCACAAGACACAATGACATAAAAAAAAAAAAACATGAAGTAAGTCATACTAGAGAACATGGTTGGGAAATTCTTCTTAAAATACCGCAGCATGTTTACGTTCTGATGAAATGACAAAGTTCCATTTGGGACCTGCAGGCTATGGTGTTGTTAGCCCAAGAAGACACCAAGGCTACTGTTGCTGCCTCTAATATCTTTTTCCATTTGTATATTTCTCTCTTTTTCCTCAGAAAATAAACTTGCGAGCCGTAGCAGTTTTGCAAAGCAACCATCTTTACGACTGGCATCATGGAGGCGGCCCATCCTCCCGTCTGAACAGACCCTCAGAAACCTCTCCCCTGCTGGGAGGAACAACATGACACTGTGCAGCTGAAGATTAATCTGCTTCGCGTCTTTGGTTCAATTGCTTATAGCATTTTTTAAGCATGTTTTTATAAAAAAATATCCAAAGACTTTTAACGAGGTCAGGGTGCTGTGACGTCTCTCCTGTGGTTTATAATGTATACAGTCAGAAGCTCAGGTTCAGGTTTGTCTCCCCTTCAGTAGTCTGTGGGTGGCTAAGCTGCTAACACCATAAAAATGTCTTTGAATTGTGTTTTATAAGAGATTTCCATATGTGTGCCGTGACTAAAACCTTGGCAACCAAACAAGCGGTAGCAGGAAAAGAAATGTTCTTTCTTTCTAAATTAAACTGACCATAGGAAAGCCGTTATTTAACCTGTTGCACTATTGCCCGTCAACATATTTGCACCTTGATGTAAAACATTACTTGTTCCTAACAAAGTAATTAGCTTAGACTCTAAACAAACGTTATCTAACTTTTCTCTCATATAAAGGCAGTTATTTCATATTATATTGGATGGGGTTTTCCTATCATTTAACTGGCCTTGCATTATTTTCACAATGAGAACTGGATTAAACCTGTGATATACAAAGCACAAACATCTCCATGTTTATGTTTGTAATTAAATTGTATAAATACTTTTTCATCTGATTTTCTAAGCCCTGATTTAATTGATTTAAAGCTCTTAATTGATTATTATGCTGTCATTTATATACCAGCTGTCAGTGAGGATGAGCGCTTGTTTGTTTTTTCTGTTCTCCGTGTCTCAGGCTCTGGCAGGTGGGTCTTTGGCTCCTCACACCTGCTATTGAGCTTTTTTATTCAGAAACTACACTTATACAAAAATGCTCAAAAATACACCTACAGGTGTTTGGATCCAGGTCGGACTGCATTACATCTTGTTTACCATTTCACATGGAGCACACAGAGGATTTTTGACTATTCCTCTATGCAGGAGGATTCAAAGTGACATCCTGCATCCTCTTATCTACTCCTCAGCCAGCAGGATCTCTGTCAGATCTATAGCAGAAATCTTTCTCCTTCTTCAAGACCCAATATGATCCATGATCTGTTTAGAGGCAGAGGTCTCCAGATTTTTGTTTAAAATGTTGATACTTTCCAAAAGTTCATGATGCATTCTGACAAGGTTGTTGGGTTCATTGGATGTATAACAGACCTAGTTATGCGGGTATAAAGGTTTATAATGATAGGTTTTGGCATCACTTTTCAGCCAGTATTTACACCTAAGTGAATGGGATAAATTTAGCTCACAAAAATATTTTCCCAATATTTTTTAAGATGTTCAGTGTGAGATTATGTTCATGTGGTGCAAAATTGGTTTATTCTAAAGCTTTTTATACAATATAACATGTATCTACATGCTTGTATAGTTAGTTTGCATCATAGTTAATCTCAGTCTAATTGGGATATTCTGCAAAACTAAAACAATGGGACATAGATCAGCATTCTACTTAAAAATTAACCCCAAGATCAGTTTTCTTTGAAAGCCGTCATTCTGTTTTCCCTTCTAGAAAGAACTGAGTATATCTGACTGAATATTAGGCCTATTGCTGTTTAACTGTATATTAAGAAGCATGGCATTTTAAAATGCAAAGACTGACTTAAAACTGACCCCAGAAAGAATTACGGTATTTATTTTGCAGTAAACTGCAAGATATAAAAAAATAATTTGTTTTTCCACTTCCACCAAATGAGTGGTGAACATTATTTTAATAGCTAACATTACATATTTGTGTTTGCCTACGGTATTTTAATCCTCTTGTTTATAACAGATTTAGTAAGTATTCTGCTGTCTTAAAATAATGTGACACACAAGCAAGCTGAATATTTTTATTTTGTCATAAAACTATTACATCTCTATATGCAGAGCTTTTTAAATATTTGTTTTAGCCTCGGTAATGTTCACTTTTTGGCACACAGAGTTAACATGATTCAGACCTATAATTCTTGATTCCCCATAAAATATCTCTTCCTAAACCTCAGCAGAGATAATCAAATATATATAAGTTACAATATATATTTCTATTAAAACCAAAGATTTGACAAGGAAACATTCAAATAAATAACCACACCGACAGCGAGAGCAGCAGCTTTGTAAAACACATCCAATTAAAATGTTTCCTGCTTGCAGCCATGTGGTGAATTAGTGAGACGTGTCAGGAGGTCGGTTCTTATTTCAGCTTCTGTTCACAAGGGGAACAGAAAGTACTCTAGGATCTCTCAGATTAACTCAAAATTAAGACTTTACTCTTCCAGTAAAACCAGACGAGACATTTCAAGCTTCCGTTTAGAGCTAATTTCTATCCACACAGAATACAGGCGGCTAATGATTTCTAATAAAACAGCATTGTTTTTCTCCTTGTTGAATGTAATGTTTTGTTCACAAGCTGCAAGAATTTACAACAAAATTGTATGGATTAAAAGAAAACTTGAAGAGGCCCTTTAAATAAAAAACAAAAATAGCCCAATGGTGGAGCAGCATGACGCCTCCACATAAAGTGTTATGGCACAGAAGGAAAATGCCTGAGTAAAAAGCGAAAGATTCTGCGTTTGCATCAGAAACAATAATTAAAAAAATATTCATACAAACAGAGAAACTGCATCTTAAAGAGGAAAATATGTTTTGAAGCTCAATAGCAGGAATATTTAAAGCTATTTTTACACATGAGGACCTCTTTCACCACCACTAGTTAAATAAAAATATATTTATCACATTAGTTAGTGTCTGCGTAATAGTGGTCAGTCAGCACTAAATGGAGACTTTTTCTGCTGTGGCACATTAAAGAAAATCAAAATAAACAGTAAGCTTATTCTTAACCCTTTTTTTTTTCCACTGAAGGGAAATCTGAAAGCAACAGAAATGATTTAGTCACTGAAGAGCATGAACACTGAGAAAATAAGTATTTGAACACCCGCTTATTTTTCAAGTTCTCCTGCTTAGAAATCATGAAATTGTGATCTTAGTTGCATGTCTACTGTGAGAGACATAATCTTAAAAATTTTTAAAAAAAATCCAGAAATCACAATATATGATTTTTCTAGCTATTTATTTGTATGATCCAACTGCAAAAAGGTATTTGAACAGCTGGCTATCAGCTAGAATTCTGACCCTCAAAAAGTCTGCCTTCAAAATGTCCTCCACTTTATTTATTATCCTAAATTAGATGCACCTGTTTGAGGTTGTTAGCTGCATAAAGACACCTGTCCATACCATAGAATCAATACTGACATGGCCAAGACCAAAGAGCTTTCAAAGACATTAAGAGACAAAATTGTACACCTCTTCAAGGTTGGCAAGGGCTACGGGAAAATTACCAAGCAGCTTGGCAAAAAAAAAAAAGGTCCACTGATGGAGCAGAAGCTAAACATGACTGATCTCCCTCAGACTGGGGCTCCATGCAAGATCTCACCTCATGGGATCTCAATGATCCTAAGTAAGATGAGAAATCAGCCCAGAAGGTTACTGTTTGTAAAACACTAAGACGTCATGGATTGAAATCATGCATGGCACAGAATTTTACCCTGCTTAAACTAGCACATGTCAAGGCCCATCTTAAATTTGCCAACGACCATTTAGATTATCCAGAGGAGTCATGGGGTCAGAAGAGACCAAAAAGGAACTTTTTGGTCAGAATTCCACTAACTGTGTTTGGAGGAAGAGGAATGATGAGAACCATCCTAAGACCACCATGCCTACTGTGAAGCATGGTGGTGGTAGCATCATGCTTTGGTTTTTTTTTTTTCTGCACATGGGACAGGGAGACTGCACTGTATTCAGGAGAGGATGACCAGGGGCATGTATTGCCAGATTTTAGGGAACAACTTCCTTCCCTCAGAGCATTGAAGATGGGTGGAGGCTGGATCTACCAACATGACAATGACCCGAATGAACACATCCAAGGAGTGGCTCTGGAAGAAGCATATCAAGGTTTTGGTGTGGCCTAGCCAGTCTCCAGACCTAAAACCAATAGAGAATCTTTGGAGGGAGCTCAAACTCTGTGTTTCTCAGCGACAGCCCAGAAACCTGACTGATCTAGGGAAGAAAAATTAATTGCAAAGAAGTACCAAATATTAACATTGATTTTCTCAGGTGTTAAAATAATTATTTGCAGCTGTAACATACAAATAAATAGTTTAAAAATCATATATTGTGATTTCTGGATTTTTTTTTTTTTTTTAGATCATGTCTCTCTTAGTGGACAATCGCAGACCTCTCCAAGCTTTCTAAGTGGGAGATTTTGCAAAATAGCGGGGTGTAAAAATACTCATTTTCCTCACTGTAGATGGTGGCAGTGATTCCGGATTCTGGGACCAGTGATTTTTACCTTCTTAAGCAATAAAACACCCAAATCATTTTAAAGAAATTTTTTTCTTAATTGCTAGAAATCAGCTAGAAGCTGCGGCACAAGCACAGATGATTTTCAGCAGTTCAGTTAAGGAACGAGTCTCTTTTCCTCTGAGCTTCAGGACCCTGCAGGGAGTTCCTGTTTCCCCAGCTGACCTTATTCTGTGCAGTTTCAGTTTCCAGAGGACAATCCGCCCAGAAAGGCTCTATTAACAAAATATTAGTAGTGCTATAAGGCAACAATGGGGAGACGATGGGCACGAAGAGGCCAACAAGCTCCAAACACAAACATTCAAAGGTGCGTCGAGTTTCACATCCAGGTCCTGAGCTCTGCCTGTCTGAAGACTAAAAGGTGGTGCCGTCACAGACGATGTTCTGGCCACGTCCGGGAAACAGCTCCATCTGCCAGTATCGAGGGTCCGCATACACTGAACACCAACCCAGAGACAGAGAGACACTGGATCATTATGTGCAGACATCTTTTAACATCCAACATTTATTTCAAATTTACATTGCAGGAATTCAGGGCTGATTAAGCCTTTAGCACCCTAATATCAAGGAAATAAATCTTTTCAACCTTAATCTAAATGATTCTTCAACATAAAACACTGATGTTTATATAGTTTAAATGAGTTTTAATGTGCAGCTTCTGAAGGAGTTACCCATGTCCCCTGGCGAGAGCCAAAGGTTGAAGGAGCTACAGTGTTTCTGGCACCGCTGAACAGGCACAACTCGGACTGTAGGCAGGCCCTCTCCCACCACCAGCCAACCCAGCACCCTGACACCCTGAAACATTAGCAACAGAAGACAATGACGTCTCTGGGTTTTACCATCTCCCAACCAAAAGAACCAAGAACCTCCATACAAACTAGAGGAAAAAAAGCCCAAATCTGATCTGGATTTAGGTAATAATCATTTTAATATCTGTAATTATATCTCATCTATTCTTCTATGAGGTTATGTAAACAAAACACTTGATGCTGATGAAAATTATGGAAATGTTAAATGTTAGATTCTAAAAAAAAATCAACAAAAACCATGCTTTGCATTTAGAGGTTATGCCTTTCAGACTTAGAGTAATTAATTTTAACTTTTTAGACCATTTCTTTTTGTTATCAATGGTACGCTCCACTAACTCCATCTTTAAAACTTCTAGTTTTAAATAGTTTTCTGTTCAACAAACTTTCTTTTTTTAGCTTCAAATTTAGCTGTTTTGGGTTTTTTTTTTGTGTTGCTTAAAAAAAAAAAAAAAAAAAAAAAAACTTTATTGCACCAGCTTAGCTTCATACAGATACACTTGCCTTGCTCTGAGAGTTTGTGCTATGGGTGACCAGGCATCGCTGCAGGACAGTCCCAGCGCTGTCCAGCAGGGGGCAGAGCTCAGCCTTTGGGAAGAGCCATCTCAACACCTTTTCTCTAGTTCCAGAGCTGAACCTCCTGTAAGGTTAAACAGCAAAGTACCAAATAATTATTTTCTTAATCCATTGATTTTTTTTCAATTAATCTATTAAAAATAAGATAGTATAAGGTTTCTTAAGGTATATTTTCTAGGGAATTTAACCCAGGGGAAGATGAAACTAATCCACTTGTGAAGTTCTGGATGGAGCATTTTGACAGATTTTTTTTTTTTTACTTGAATACAAAATGTTAATACATTTTTATTTTTTTTTTTTACAGTTTTGGTATAATTACTGCTCTCTGTGTGGGTTGCTCTCATAGTTAATGGGAACATTTAGAGTCTATATACTCCAGTTAATGATTAATAGATAACTAAATAAGCTATATATTTTTATCAAACATGACCCAAAATGCATAAATGCATTATATGCATTCTTTTTCAATAAAAGCTAAACTGTGTTCTAATAACACAGTTTAGCTTGGTTTAGAAGTGTTTAGATTGGGACAATGCTGCTGAACCTGCATCCTGAGCTATGATAGGAGGGTTTAAACCAAAGCGTATCCGGGTGTTAGATGGCCTCAGATTCCTACCAGAGCAGAGTGAAGTTGGCGGGTCCCTGAGGAAGGCCCAGGTTGTCGTTATGCAGGCCGCCGTCCTCCTCAAGCAGAATAGACATGGAGCCTGAATGGGCCAAGTAGAGCTCCTCCAGCTGCTGTCGCTGGATGCTGAGAGACTCGCCACCCTGCAGGGAACAAGGAAGATGTGAACAGAAAACTGTCTAGATTTATAGGAAAACATCTAATGACAACATGTAATAGCTTTTTTATTTTATTTCATATGATTACTGTGAAATATTAAAAAGCGGGGTTTAAAAAAAAACAACAGTAAACATCAGTAAAATGTCTCAAATTGTCCTCTAAAAAAATGGAAAACCAACTTTTAAACTATTTCTTCTTCTGGGGTTTTACCAAAAAATTAAACTAAAGATTATTCAGAAAATTTTGGGGGAAAATATCCTTCAAGATAAATGTTTTCAGATTTTCAGATTTGAACAGATTTGGACTCAAAAAGTGGTTGAAATATGAGCAACAGGCCCACGCTCAGAAGGCAGCTCTTAATCAAATAGAGCTCTGACCTTCAGCAGGACCAGCTGTGGTCCCCGTCGCAGAGTCACAGTCCCCCTGAGGCTCTCCGGGACTTCCAGCACAGAGGAGATCTCTGCACATCCGGAGCAGTTAACCAGACTCTGCCTGAGAGAACCGGCACTCCACCACTCATGGAAACCTGCCACAGAAATGAAAAACAAGACTTAATGGTATGAAAAAAACCTCAAGTGTCAACAAGCTAAAGCTTATCGGTCTACATTTGGTTCTTAAATCTTTTCTGAATGGATAATCCCATTATTAAAAGATTTCTTTAGATAAAACTAAAAGGATGCTGCAGTTTTAAAGAATTTTGATGGATCAAGCATGGCTTTTTATAAATAAATTCTACTAAGAATTGAAGTTAGCAGAAAACCTCAGACACTGTTCAGATGTTTTTATAATTCTGTGAATCAGGATGCAAAAGCTGTTTGCAATAAAGTAGGATCGGACCGTTCCAAGGCCTCCAGGAGGCAGCAGTGTTTCTCACCTTGCAGGTTGTACTTCTTGGCAATAGGAAGGGAGAGGAGGCGGACATGGCTGAGAGGGGACGACCAGTTGCAGCAGCCCAGATTCACCAGTCCCAGCTGGGGGGAGCTCTGTGGGTAGGTGAAGGCCAGCACCACCACCAGCAGGAAGCCCACAGCCAACAGAAACTGAACCAAGACAAAGAGATTAAAACGCTGAAAAAACACAGAGCAGGAATTTCACATCTGGTTTAGTTTTTATTTCCACCTTGATGGTGGCTCTGAGAAGGGGGAACTGTGGAGGCTCTCTCCTGGGTTCATTGGTCTCCAGGACCTGCTTGATGAACCTCTCGATCTCCCTCTCTGACATGCCGTAGCGGTAACCCGACTGCCGGAGGATGTCGATGCTCTCAGACAGTTTGTCGTAGATACATGGCTCGCTCGACGCCGTCCCCATAGTGACAGCAGCTTTATGGTCCAACGCGTCAGTCTTCAGCTGGTGCAGGGGAGCAGGATCATGGCGTCATCTCACCTGATAAGAAACGCAAGAAATTTAAACCAACAATGGTCTCTATAAGACTAAAGATAGTTTTGCTTTTTGTTTGTTTGTTTAAAGGCAAGACTTTGACTAGGCCACTTTAACCTTCTGACAACATTTATTACTTTTTTTATTCTTCTAAAAAATGTAATACAAATTAAAAAAAGATTTTAAAAAATTCACTTTTGTCTTGTTGAACCAAAGAATAAATTTCCCCAAAGTGTCTGAGATTAATAAGATGTTTGTTGGCAAGTGAAGATGAGGGGTTTTTTTTCCAACATGCAGTGGTTTCTCACTTATAACTTTATAATGCTGCTATTATTTTTTATCCCCCAACTCCTGATTGTAAACTTAAATTAAGAGAGTCATCTAACATTTTTTTAATTCAGTCGCAGTGGGAGACTTGCAAGCATAAAGCCATTTAAAACCTTTGTTTTCATTCTTTTTTTAAAATCGACATTAAAATCCTACCTAAGTTCAAAATGAAATCCTAACTGAGAAAAATAATAACAATGATGAAAATGTTTATCCAAAACACCACAACAAAATGGGGTATTAAATCAGGGCCAAAAAACAGCTGATAGTGATGAATAGAATAGAAAATCAATTTATTGTCCCACAATGGGGAAATTCTGGTGTTACAGCAGCAAAAAGATTATAGAAAAAAATTGTCACTCAAATGTGGATCTTAGAAAAGTGTATAAGAATAACATATTAGTGAAGGGTTAAAGAGTAAACAACTAATATACTGTACTGTACAGTGTTTTAACACTATAGATGCTGTGCACCTGGAGAATAAATAACTCTTATACAGCTATGGACATTTTTACGGTAATGGATATTTGAAAATAGTAGCAACACCAGAGATGTGCAGAATGACAGCAGCATATTATTTAACTGATTAAGGTAGAAACTGTGCAAAATCAGCATGAATGTAAAAACTTATTGAGGTTGTTGGGAACAGTGGTGGTTATAAAGTCTTCCAGCTGCTGGGAGGAAGGATCTGTGATTACGCTCTTTGGTGCATTTAGGGTGCAGCAGTCTGTCACTGAAGGAGTGCTCCAGTTCTGCAACAGCTTCATGCGTGGGGTGGGAAACATTGTCCAACAGAGATGTTAATTTAGGATCCTTTTGTTTCCCACCCCCTGCACTGAATCCAGAGGGCATCCAATCACAGAGCTGGCCTTCCTCATCAGCCTATCCTATCCTAACTGAGACTATGTGGACATTGGCTGTTCCATTAGACTGATAATGAGAATCAATGGGCTCACACACAAACTCTCATTTGCTTTGTGGACTTTGAACATGTACCTGTTGACCTAAGGTGCCTAAACTCCTCCACCTTCAGCACCACTGCATTAAATTCAGTCTACATGGAGCTCACTCTACACAAAAAACACTTGGAAAAGACACTTTTTTGCATGAAATGTTTTACTTCCTGGAGGATTTGATTTAGATCTCGCGATAATTTGTAATGAACAGTCTAATGAGTGTTCTGATCTTTTCAGCAGAGATGTTGGACAGTAAAATATGGACGTAGTCGAACACAAGGTCATTCTAAAATAAAACTATATAAACCAAATGAAGAATTAAATGAACTCTGATTGATGTTTATAACTATTACTTTGTTTTCCTTCCATTGTGGCGTAAACAGAATGAGAGACTCACCCAAATATTAACTAGCAGAGCAGCTTTATGTACTGTAAATAAAAACAGGAACCTGTCATTCTGAATTACATAACGAATAACAGACCAAAAAAAAAACCTTCCATTAATCAATCGCTAAATGTTTTTTCTTTTCTTTTTTTTTTTTTTAAGTTTGATTGCTATAAATAATCCAAACCTCCAGAAACACAGGTAGTTTCAGCCGAAATAATCTAACAGGTTAGCTTATTTGGTAGCAACATCAGATTCTCAGCCCAACACACAAATTCACCAAAAGCCTCACCTTAAAGTGAGATCCTCCGTCCTAGTAAAAACACTTCCATTTCTCTGGGTGCTTTCAGAAAGACGGCTATCCTTTTGTAAAATAATGATTTCAGGCCGTCAGTGAGACATTTCTGCACCATACACGACAGTGAAGTCGGCTTCCGATTTGTCACTTCCGGCTCAGCGGTTGACTTAAAGGACTATTACATAGTTTTTCTTTTGCGCATCAGAAATTAAACCGATTAAGACTTTAAATAAAACGCCAAGGGTAACGTACAGGTATGCTGAAATAAAATACAGAAATTGTGAAAAGCAATGTCAAATCAGCATAAAAAAATAGTCTAAATGAAGGCATCATTTATTTTACTTGGTTATGACGTGTTAAACCGATAATATTTCCACTAAAGGCACTTAACGATAATGAAATATTTCTAATATAGAGTGTATTCTACTATAGTACACTCTATAGTAGAGAGTATTCTACAATAGAATATTTGTGTTCTTCATGTTCACCATATATATATATATATATATATATATATATATATATATATATATATATATATATATATATATATATATATATATATATAAACTATACAGACTATATAAAGGTTTCATAGTATATTTATCAAATAAAACACATTGTTTTTTTGTTAGGTATGCTTTGATGAAGTTTCATAAGCGTCTCTCTTTAGCCAATCAAACAAGCTTCAGGCGCTCTTCCTCCCACCCTAAACGGAACCAAAACAATCTCTCTCAGCCAATGACATGTCGACTTCTCCCGGAAGTCCGGACCCTTCCTTCCGCTTCTTGTGCAACTAGTTTACAGCGAAAATAAAGCTACAAGTAATTACAACGTGATTCAGCGGCAGAATGGCGGAAATAGAAAATTAAAAGTATTTAACTGTGCGCCACTGAATGAAGTTCAAAAAGAAGCATTTTAGCTCACACATCTCCTGACAACCACCAGAAAAACGTAGACTGAAATCTTTAATTCATCAAAAACTAGAAGAAGGAGATTTTAGATTTTTTAAAAAATATCAACATTTCGGAACTTCTGAAGACAAACACAATGTTATCCTTGGTGGGTGTTAATGTTTTATTTTGGCTCTCTAATGTATCAAAATACAAACAAAATATTGTGTAGCCAAAAGTTATCATACATTTACGAAGATTAACAGCTGGTTTTTGTTTACTTTAAAGCTGTTTTTATCTTTTAATGTTCATTTGGGTTTTTAATTGATAAACAGTAAAAATGTATTTCTTTTTCTTAACTTAAGGTTATCATACTTTCAGAGTTGCATCATATCCCATGACCATTCTCAATATATGTATCTAGCAGTTTAAATATGATGTCAAAGATAAAATGTTTATTATCTCAGATAGACACTAGATTGTTACAATAAGATTCAACATCCTGATTAAAGATAATCAAAAGGTGGAACAAAGATTCCTTGACAGGCAGAGAATTCTTTTGTAGTTTTTCTGCAATGTAGCCACAAGAAATCAACAGTGGTGTTGTCTTAATAATGCACTAAAGATGTGCTCTGTGTTGAGGAGTTTGTTGTTTTACGTTGAGTGTGAAATCCTGCTGTCCAGTCTAAGATGTCCAGAGCATCAAATAGATATCAATACATCACTTTTTAATGGTGCTGATGGTGTAGATCGGAGGTCTTTAACACGGGGTCCACAGAGGTACTACATTACTCCATATGTAATAGAGGGACTATAGAACCAGCTTGATATAACACAATTTCATACAATATATATAATTAGGGGGTTCCCCTCCATCTCGTCATCAGTTTTGGGGTCCTTGGCCTGGAAAACGTTGAAGACCCCTGCTGTAGATGACTCACTACCAAAGTTTGTAGACATGAGCAACATTTTTTTTTTTTCTTGGGAATCTTTGTATGTTTTCATGTTCAACTATTGACGGAACCGCAACAGATCAATGACGTAACGACACAACAATAAGCAAGTAAGCAACATTATCTGGGTGGGCCCCATATGAAGTACAACACCTGTACAAAGTATATTCTGCTGTAAAATTAGTCTTATCGGTTTACCTTGAGTTTAACAGCCCCCCTCCTCACCCGCGCTCATTCCACTCATCTCCTGGTCGCCATCTTTACTCACTGTAGCAGCAACCCCCAGCTATTTTGGGAAGTTTTTTTCCATTCATCTAGCAGCTCTTCTTTGCCTTTTCTTTTCTGTAATCCGCCTAAGTACCTCTTTTTGGTATCCATCGTCGCTAAGACATTGTACGTAATGGTTATGGTTTTAATCTACGCTCTGGATTACCCATAATTCCAAGTCATATTGTAAAACATAAAAAATAAAATACTCAAATACATTGTTCATTTAAGATCTTTATTGTGGTTTGAAACATATTATATGAGTGTATTTTTTACCAACCCTCTAATGAACTCAGGGGTTGACGTTAAGGATTTTTACCACTTGCCCTTCAGGCGTGACTTTCACATTTAATTTGCCCAGAAACAATTTTTACTTGCCCAGTATAATGTTTGATAAATATAGTTCCTAATATTCATTTTTGCATATATATCAATGAAACATGTTTGTTTTTTAAATGTTTTTTGTAATTCAGTATTTTTTAATTTTACAGGTTCCTGGTGTGTATATGCATGCCTCAGATAATGAACTCAAGCCTACATTACCGTGTTAACATGCCTTTCAATCCTTCTTGCACATTCTTTTCAAACTAAACTTTGCTTTAAACTGTTGTGTGCTTGGGAAAAATACAAATTGTAATGTTAAAAATAAAAATAAAAAAACTTGACAGGTTAAAAACTTAAGATAAATCACAAGATAGAAGTCAATGTGACAAATTAATAACTTATTTTAGAGTCACAGTATGTTTATACAAGATAATACTATTAATATAATGTGACTTTTCTAGAGAATCATTATACAGTTATTTTATACAGGGTTTCCACAGTCTTACATAATTTCAGAATTCCCTGACTTTAAACTGACTCAGGATTAGTTTTCTCTGACAAAATAAATGCAGCAACAAGACAACAATAATAACATAACAGGTCACCAATTTAACATGTTTAGCTCTATAACATTTAAATGCACCTCTGCAATGTCTGAGAGAAAAAAAATTAATGAAAATTTTTTAATGTATGACCACTGTACAGAAGACTGCCATATAATAGCGCTTTCTAGCTTGTTTGTCGTTTTGGTAACTACATCAAAATTACCGCTAGGTTGAAAAAAATTACAAGTAAATTACGCCACCTGGCGGAAAATCTCGCGGCTTTTTCAAATCACGCGAGAATGTGTACAAAACAACAACAATGGCGCGAGCTGGGTCGTTTTCAGCTAATGTCGGTGATTTTAAAGTAATTTTGAGTGATAAATATTTTTTTTTGCGATCACTGCACTTGCTCGGCGGGCAAATGCAATGAAATTAATAAAATTAATATGAAATTAATAAAAAGTACTTGCCCCGGGCGATCGGGCAATGGTTAACATCGAGCCCTGATATTACTTCTGGTAAAACCTATAAAAAAAAAGTAAAATACCTCTGATGTTATATATCAGACACAAAATACAAACAGTAGTTTTCAAGTAGCTTTCAATCCCAGCATAACTGGAATGCTCAACCATAAAGGCCAGGATGATGTTCAGATTTCATTCAGGGAGTTGCTGAACAGTCCCCTCACTCGATATCACATTTGAACAGCAGGTGGCGGTAGTGCTCATCTAACTTAGTTAAACATCCGCCCGCGAAGAATCCTAAAAGAAGAGGATAGCACATCGGCTGGTCAACCCTAGGATACTTTAGCCCCCTACGTCGCATTACCATCTGTAGTTGACAGGTAATGGTATTCAGTCTGGTTTTGTCTGAACCCTGACAAAATAAATGCAGCAACAAGACAACAATAATAACATAACAGGTCACCAATTTAACATGTTTAGCTCTATAACATTTAAATGCACCTCTGCAATGTCTGAGAGAAAAAAAAAATTAATGAAAATTTTTTAATGTATGACCACTGTACAGAAGACTGCCATATAATAGCGCTTTCTAGCTTGTTTGTCGTTTTGGTAACTACATCAAAATTACCGCTAGGTTGACAAAAATCACGCCATCTGGCGGAAAATCTCGCGGCTTTTTCAAATCACGCGAGAATGTGTACAAAACAACAAAAATGGCGCCGGCTGGGTCGTTTTCAGCTAATGTCGGTGATTTTAAAGTAATTTTGAGTGATAAATATTTTTTTTGCGATCACTGCACTTGCCCAGCGGGCAAATGCAATGAAATTTGTACTCTCCCGACAATAAAAAGTACTTGCCCTGGGAGATTGGGCAATAGTTAACATCGAGCCCTGGAACTATACACAGTTATTAACAAAGTAATTAAAAGTACCACTGTCTGCGGCTCACCATCATGTTGAAATCTGCCCAATGTTGGGGTATAAATATGGTCCACTAAGGTAAAGTAATGTAGTAATAGGTGGGTTTAAGAGGAATTTTTTGCACCATTACATCTGCAAAGAGACATCCTAGTCCACAATTGCGAAGGGGGCCTACCTGGTGTCAGGCTCGGGGGGCCTACCTGGTGTCAGGCTCGGGGGGCCCTAAGCTGCAGTCTCTGCTAACGATATTTACGCTATTGCACAAGATCCCAACAAAGTATTTTACCCTGTCTTTTATTTTGAAAGTCGTTTCCGGAAGTTAACTTTGTCGCGCAGTCCTGTCCTGTTTGACCCATTCCATTACAGCCTGTGTTTGAAAACGTAACAAGCTGTAGGATAAATACCAGAGTTTACTCGTATGTAACCTTTGTTTTATAGGTTTTTTAAAGTTTTTTTTTTGTCTCACGGGAGTTTCTTTGTTGAACGCATTTGCAGAACTGTATTTTCAGAGCGCCGGTTGCTTTCGTCGTGTTATTTCGTGTTGAAGCGGAGCTTCAGCTGAAATCAGCCCTCAGACCCGATGCTCTCCCCAGGCAGGACCATCTCCTCTCGGCTGCTGAGGCCGGCCTTATGGCTTCCTTTCCGGCTGTGCCCTGAGCGGACAGCCACCAGCTCCAGGCCGAAAGGTACCAGCAGCCAGGAGCTAACTAGTCAGTTAATTTTAATTCAAGCAGCTAATCCCAAAGTGACGCAGTTTATCGGGGGTACAGGAACCGATGCAACACGTGTGATCTGATTATTATGTCATATATGCTGCATTTACATAAATACTCCATTTTTTTTAAATATTTATTTGATTTTGATTCTAAATAACTACTTAATGACAAATAATATTTTTATTTGTCATTTTTAGGGCTCATAAAGCATTAAAAATATTTTAATATAAACTATTTGGATCACTGAAATGATATTTGTTCTTGATCTAATAACAACCCAAACATTGCAATATTTTTTTGCTGATATGAGAATTAAAAAAATAATTCCATTACCTTTTTTTCTCCCTAGAATTAGTTATTTTGATTCGCATAAACTAGAAAAATATGATGTGTAAAATTAATTGTATCTAAATAATAAAACATGTTGATTTAAAATAAAATTCTGTGTTTCTGAGATAAGTACATAACGATAAATAGAAGAAACTAAATTCTTTCATTAAGGGATTTGCTTTTTTAAAGCCTGACAGGCTGATTTTATAACTCAAGCTGATGAATAAATCAATGACCTATAGCCAGGATCTCTGTTTAAACTCCTTTCTCATCAACTAAATGATTGTTTTGAGGTTGGCTTTAGGTACTGAAATAACAGCTGATCCAAGGTTACATGATGTGTTATCTTTATCAAGATGCTCAGAAATATTATTTCCTCCGGCTCTCTGATGTGCCGAAATGATCTGAAGCTCATTGCTGCCAGTAAGTTTAAAATCAATCAATTAATCAATCAATCAATCAATCAATCAATCAATCAATCAGACACAATTATGTTCCATGAACAGACAAAAGCAAGAACAAATAATAAAAAAAGAGAAAAATAAAAATATATAATAAAATAATCAATCACTGACATATAAACTAAAGCACAAATGATTCTACAAACTGGAGAAGAATCTCACTGAGCATTGTGTAATTTGTGTTTTGTACTGAAGAGCTGATCAAGAAGCACGAGTTGGAGAAAGATGAGCTCCGGCCTCTTTACATGGACTTCCAGGCCACCACGCCTATGGTAACTGCTGTCTCTGTTGTCAATTATGCAATAAGACAAGACTATTTTCTTATGGAGCTAAAATATCCTTTCTTGTTTTGATTTTATCATCCATAACCTTAACTCTGCTACTAGTTTGTTTATCTTTGTTGAACTATTTGTGCCTTAAAGCAGCAGACTCATTGTTTTATTAATTTCAACCACTTTTTTATAAGAAAACTTCTAATGATGAGAAAAAGAAATGACAATATATCTTCAGTCCTGTTTTCCCTTTTTTCACTCAGCTTTCTGTATAAGAGGACTTTGTGTCTAACATGGTGTTTGGATCTGACATGTTTAGGACCCTCGTGTGCTGGATGCCATGTTGCCATACCAGGTGAATTACTATGGCAACCCTCACTCCAGGACTCATGCCTATGGTTGGGAGAGCGAGACTGCCATGGAGACCGCCAGAAAGGTATGAGAAGTCACTGCGTACAGGGAGGAAGTAGAAGAAACTTGCACTATGATAACGCTTCAACAAGATCACTCCATTATAGTGACATTTTGAAAAGAAGTATTACTTTAAGTGATCAAAGCTATGAAGAAGTAAAATATTTATCTTTTCAACATTAGCAAACATTTCCAGATTGGTAACTAACTTGCAAGCTTGCTAACTTTTTAGTTTTGCGAAATACTTGTATTGCGGCCAGCCGTATTGTCCATTCCTGAATGAGACCTAATATTATTATTTTTTTTTTTTTCTGTTTTCATTATGTATATCTAAACAGATTAGAAAAATAGTGGATTTATCTACAGCCACAGGGAGGCATTTGTCCCATGTAGTTTAAGCCATAAAAGGTCATTATTACAGGAGCTGACTGATAAGGCCAGAACACACTGAATCCGATTTTTGCATCCGTTCCGACAGAATATTGTGTCGAACGAGGTCGTGGCGTTTAGCATTGATTGCAAGTCAATGGGGATGATAACACCCGAAACGATTGTACGCATCCGGGCTTGCATAGTACCGGCTGAGATAGAGACCCAGGTCTATTTTAGTCGCACTAGGCACCAATTCAGTGTCAATGTCATGGGTCTGACAGGAAGACTGATGTGTCTACAAAGTTAAACATGTCTACTTTTGGGGAAAATACAAAGTAAAATCTGTTAATTGCATGTCGAAACAGTCACTTTTTGGAGTCGGACATAGGATAAATAGTAAGCGGGACAGACTAATGCAAAAATAATCAATAAAAAACTTAAAAAGGATACATTGCCCATGATAGGAATTCAGGAGGACAGAAAATGGATAAAGTGACGATCTTCTTCCAAAACGAAGGAACAGAAAGTGCAGTTTATCACTCTCCTTGGGGGGGAAAAAAAACTTCAGGAGGAGAAAAAACACTATTTTACTTACTGTGATAGTAAAATAGGGGTCCACTTTGAGCCACACAAAAACAAAATAACAAGGGACAGGAAGAGCAGGTAAATGCGGCCTATCTCTCTCATCTCTTTATGAAAAGGAAGAAAAACTTGAATAAACTTCACAGAGCTTTCTCTGAGAATCACCTCTCTCTGTCTCAGTCAGCTTATAAACTGTCCCATGGCTTTTATTGCTGTGTTTTCTCTTCTTTAGACGTAGATTTCATTATGTTTTTAATAACATATAGGCATAAGAACATTCTTTATCTGCTCTGGTTTGAGATGCTGCACAGACTCTTTAGGTGGGGCTTTGCAAAGAATACGCTGGTGTTTTTTTTTTTTTTTGGATAACTTCTCATAGTCTGTCCAATGTCAAATGTGGGAAATTGTTTTCATTTGTGTAAAGCACAGAAGCAGAAATGAAAAAAATCTGTGCAGATCTGCCCATTGAAAGCATTGAAAGCAAACTATGAAAGCAAACAGTCAGCTTATTGATAACAACTCTTAGAATAGGGTGATCAAAAGACCAGGCATGTAGGGTAGATTCAGAGCCACGTCGGGGTTAATGGGAGTAGAAGTTTTAAATGGCGTCTCTGACTTTGAGTGTTTTTATCTGAGCAGCAGGTGGCGGATCTTATCGGAGCCGATCCCAGAGAAATCATCTTCACCAGCGGAGCCACCGAGTCCAACAACATGGCCATCAAGGTCCCGTTTTTTTTACTTTTATTATAACGGCACACATGCAGCTCTTTATAAACATCAGGTTTTGTTTTGAAATTAACAACAACAACAAAATGTTTGTAATTAAATTAACTGCAGTAGCTTTTATATGGAGTTATTTTTGTGGTTTTTTTATTTTTATTGAATACAAGAAAAAAGTTATCTGAAAGGGGAAATTATTTTAAAAGTAAAATTAATATATTGGAGAGAAAATAAATTCACGTGGATAGCAAAAACTGATGTTTGAGATTGAAGAAAAAGTCTTGACAGAAAATATTTTGTTGTTTAATAAATTAAGCTAAAAAAAAATATATATATATATATATTTTTTTTTTAAATAAAAAAAAAAATATATATATATTTTTTTTTTTGCTTTGTTTTTTTTTGGCAATCCGAGGGAAAACATTTTCTCTCAAAACTTCCTTCTTCTCTCTCTCTTAAAACCTGTCTTTGCTCTCAATTCAAGATTTCTCTCAATGTGTAAGATGCTTCATGGATGGGCCTGTGTTCCTATTGGCCAGTTTCAACATAACTGACAGCAAAATAACTCCATACTTATATGAACTCGAACTCACACAATCACTTTCTCTTTTAATTTTAAAATGGTTTTATTTGTGTAGGTGTGCAAAGCGCAATAAGTAGCTGGATTAAAAACAAACCAAGAGCTGTAATAATAAAGAGAAAGGACCTGACTCATTGTTTAACCCTTTTATTCCGCCTGCAGGGCGTGGCCAGGTTCTACCAGGCCAAGAAGCGTCATGTGATCACCACCCAGACTGAACATAAATGTGTTTTGGACTCATGTCGGATTCTGGAGGCTGAGGGATTCAGCGTCTCCTACCTGCCTGTCCAGAAGAATGGACTGCTGGACCTGAAGGTAAACAATAACAGTAATTAGATGGACCACAAGTACAGTGGCTCTCTAATTTAGTGATTGTATAATATGAAGGTGAAAAATTCTTCCCACATATATGAAATCTATCCCTTAAGCCGTGTGTACACTGTGCGATTTTTTTTTTTACGTCGTTGCACACAGCTACTGCTCACACTGTACGACTAAACCACAGGGTTTAGTCGTACAGTGTGAGTTCACAGCTCACAATTTATGTTCAGCCCGATGCTCTCATGCGATCTACCTGCTCACACTGTACGACTAAAAACCACGTCGGATTCAGCTCTGCAGTGAGATCAAGCTGCTCTGACTCGTCTATCCGGAAGCCAAACAAATAGAAGGGGAATATAAAGCTCATTAGAGTGAAACGCGCTGTCGTGGCAATTTGTGCAATTTTGTGCTGAAAGCCCTAAAAAGAAAATGCGGCGACGTATTTGGAAAAAAGACATGGCTGAGCAAACGTGGCTACTATGGTCTGTCAATTTTACAGAAAGAACTGCATTTCACTCATTGCATCCCTGCCACGCTGCTGTGTTTACAAAAGAATCCTTGTTTGCACATGCGCACTGAGCGATTTGCCCCAGACGGTCGAAAGCATGTTTGATTTTCTCCCGACCTCATGATTCCTTATTGGGAGGTGGTCGTGAGAGGCTGATCGCCCCTCGTAACCCCCTGTACACTACACGACTCACAACGCACGATTAGGCTGAAAGTCAGCCCGATTGAAAGATTCTCGCACGACTGGAAAATCGCCCCAAAAATTGCACAGTGTTTGCCCTGCTTTATGAGTCAATAAAAAAAAAAAATATATATATATATATATATATATATATATATATATATATATATATATATATATATATATATATATATATATACATACATACAAGGAAAAAAAAACAACTAAAACAGTGAGGCTGATGAAAACACTGAAGGCCTGCAGGGAATTCCTTTATTTTTTTTCTACAAGTGACAGAAATCTCCTTTGTTCTCCATGCCTGGGTTAGATGGTACGATCCAATGTTCTTTCACTAAAGTCTACGTGAAAATGGTGTTAAGATTTCAGAAAAAAACTTGAACTTTAGGGCGATAATGCCAAATACTTTAGCGGGGATACATGGTGGTGGCAGAATCATGGTTTGGGGTTAGTTTGGCTTAGATTGAACTGTCAAGGTGAATTAAATAATGAATCTTTCTTTTTTTTCAATTACTTGACAATTATGGCCCAAAGCCTTCATGAATGTGCTTGAAAGCTCAAATTGAAACTTAATTTCCTTGTACCTAATCCAAGCAAACATCCACATTAAAAAACTATGATCTATTTTTTTTAGATGAAAAATTTAGTAATACTTCAAAGCTAAATCTGACTATTTTGAAGAACTTTTCACAGTTTGATAGATGAACTTTGGAAAGTTGATGTCTGCAGGCTGCTGCTGTACAAATAAAGCATTGTAACAATTTGGTTTTTAATGAATTTCACTGAAATATATGTGGAAAACACTTTATATGATTAATTAATTATGCTCTGATGTTTTTATATCACAACATTGTAGTAATTTAATGAGGGGGTGTCCAAACTTCTGATGGCTACTGTAGTCCTCACTCTGTAACCCGTGTCTGTTTGCAGCTGCTGGAGGACTCCATCAGCGCAGACACCTCATTGGTGTCCGTGATGACCATCAACAACGAGATCGGAGTCAAGCAGCCCATCGAGGAAATCGGTAGATGTGGCATCATTTAATTAATGCTCATTTTAATTCTAACCCTGCGGCTGCTTAGAGCCCAGATTCATTTGATCAATATTTTTGGGCTGACCGAGGTTCGCGCTTCCTCTGTTTAGGTCAGATTTGTCGATCCAAAGGAGTCTTCTTCCACACTGATGCTGCCCAGGCTGTTGGAAAGATTCCCCTCAATGTCTCTGACTGCAAAGTTGACCTGATGTCCATTAGTGGTCACAAGATCTACGGACCCAAAGGTTAGAATCGGTGGGATGTTCTTCTCTGAAAACTCTTTCCAGCTGCTCTACATAAGGCAGAGATCTTTTACAACCAGTTAGATTTGTTTTTAGTTTGCAATACTCCACTCTCTGATATATCTACTCAACTTCAAGAGGTTCACATGCTAACATCCCTGGAAAAAAAAACGTTGGTCATGCATGTTTACGTTTGCAGGTGTGGGTGCTTTGTATGTGCGACGACGACCTCGGGTTCGTTTGGAGCCGCTGCAGAACGGAGGCGGGCAGGAGAGGGGCCTTCGCTCCGGTACGGTGCCGACCCCGCTGGCCGTCGGGCTGGGCGCAGCCTGCAGCATTGCTCAGAAGGAGATGGAGGTAAAAGTCAGCATCAGATGATCTAAGTGACCAAACCTGAACGATACCTCATGACTGCTTTTGTTCTTAGTATGATGAACAGAGAGTGACTATGCTGGCTAACCGTCTGGTCCAGAAGATCATGTCTGAGGTTCCTGATGTTTTCTTGAATGGAGACCATGAACAGCGCTACCCTGGTAAATAAACCCAAAGGACTAAATTCATATTCTGCATTTTTTTAACCTCTTCTTCTTTCCTAATCATTGATATCTTCATGGGTGTGCAGGGTGCATTAACCTGTCCTTTGCCTACGTGGAAGGCGAAAGTCTGTTGATGGCCCTGAAGGATGTTGCTCTATCATCTGGGAGGTAAAACGCCAACCTTTGACTGATATAGGTTTAGAAATATATCATGATATTTACCTTTTCTAAGACTTGTGTGTGTTTTTGTTTGGGTGCAGTGCATGTACATCAGCTTCTTTAGAGCCGTCTTACGTTCTCAGAGCCATCGGAGCAGAGGAGGACCTCGCTCACTCTTCCATCAGGTACAGATCCTACATCAAACTGAGGATTATTGCTTACACGTTTAGTTGGATATGGGAAATCAACCTGTATTTGATGCGGTGTGGTTCAATTTTCTGCTGTCAAAGAAAAAAATCTTCTAAGTGATTAAGTGGTTCCTGTTTACATCCAGGTATATAAAGTCAATTAAAATCATTCAATCTAATTGATTCCTGTTCAGTTCAGTCATAGTAACAGATCCTGGCTTTATGTATCAATTTGTATCCTGCAATTTGTCTGGAAATATAAATTAGATGAACTTATTTTAATTTCATATTTTTGTTTCTTATTAAAAGCTTTTCTGTTTCTCTATGCTGCAGGTTTGGCATTGGCAGGTTCACCACAGAAGAGGAGGTTGATTACACAGCGGAGAAATGCATTCAGCAGGTTCGCCGACTCAGAGAGATGAGGTGATGTCTACTTTTTTTTATTTTTTATGATCCTATCTAAATCTTAGGTTTTATAGTAACACATTTATTATTTAATCTGGTTATGCTAACTTTCCCCTGTCTCTTCTCTTCTCTCTTAGTCCTCTGTGGGAGATGGTTCAGGAAGGCATCGACCTGAAGAGCATCAAGTGGACGCAGCACTAAACCGCGCCCATTTCCCCGCCTCCTATTTAGCTGCCGAAATACGATTACAGTTCCTGAGAAATCCTCAGGATGGTCCAGCTTTTTCTTCCTCTAAACACGCACAAACTTCCTGTCCGACTTGAAGTCTGTTTGTAGCTGAAGTTCTTTGATTTCATGCAAACACACCGAGCTGGTCCCTCAGAGATGTTAACTATCCACACTTCAGCCTCAGTTGTTTTCAGCAACAAGGCTTTCACAAAATGTCAACGCAATAGGATCTGAGATGAAGCTGAAAACAGTCTAAAAAAATCCTATGAATGACAAAGGAAACAACAATGGAGTAAAATGGCCAGAATATGGTGCCTGTGCCATTTCTGAGTAAGATTGACGGAGTGGAACGAACCATTATATCATTTAGAGCAGTTTGAAGCTCAAGGAAAAATATATATACCTGGCATGTATTATGCCAGCTGTGCTACAGTTAGCGTTAACGTTCGGCTTGTATAATCAGACGGATCAGACCGAAAATATCTTTAGTCTTATTTCCAAGTTATATATGCAATATTTGGATGCAGGTTTACGTCTGTAATGTCTGTTTTATTATGTGAATTTACTGAGGCTATCATCCTGATGTCCGCTGCTGTCAAAGACTTTTTAGGGTGAAACTCGTTAATCCAACTTTGTTCTTGTTAAAGTGGTAACATCTAGAAAAATTATCATTTAATGAAACATTAGAAATAAAAATGTCAAGCTGCTGTTAACTAAGAACAGTTTCGCTGACCCTGTGGGTTTGATGCTTCGCCACCAGATGATGATGATGATGCTTAGGCATTACATTTAAATGTGATGGCGGTTGGGATGATTCAAATTATGAGTGTTTGGAAATGTTGATTTCAGGCCGTTACATCTGTAAACAGGGATTTGGGTGGGAGTGAGGGACACTTTGAATTTGACATTTTTGGGGTTTTTAATACAGTAAATGTTAAAAATTTATGAAAGGGAGACAGTCCAGTTCATGGGATAAAACATGAAAGTTTAAACTGAATGCAGAAGGTGTCGGTTTGATATAAACTTTTTTTTTTTTTTTTAAGATTCAACTGAAAGAATTCAGGCTGTCATTCAAATAAACAGATTAAAGCTCATTGATCTTTTTTTTTTATTTTATTTCTCAAGTTATGGTTTAAAATATCTACTAGGAGGAATCTGGTAAAATTTGATTATTGGGAAACACTCTGCAGGACTTAAATGTTAACCATCCATTTTCCGTCACGCTTATCCCAAGCAGGGTCGTGAGGGGTGCTGGTGCCCATCTCCAGAGGGCGAGAGGTGGGGCCCACCCTGGACAGGTCGCCAGTCCATCGCAGGGCTAATGCAATGATATAAACTATTACTGGCCTGACAGGATAGTGACAAACAATCATCAGTTGTTGTTAATTAAATCCAGTGTTCTCTGGATTAACACAAAAGAAAATGTAAACACCTGGTTTAATTTCTTTCTTTAAATCCTGCTCTGTGTGTTCCTCTGCTTCTCCAGCTGTTGTATTTTATGACACCAGCTTCTGCTGCCATCTGCTGTTACACGGCTCTCATTGTTGCCCAATAAAATCACTGCTTCATGGTTGTGCAGTCAATACTTCTTATGACCAGTTTGTCTCTTTTTTTTTTGCAATGTAAATTTAGATATCTAGTTTAAGTTGTTTACCATATATATGTTAATCAAATACATGTTGGAAAATTACAAGGTGTGTGATTACTTTTTTTTTTTAACAGCTGCATTGGTTTCAGTCTGTCAAAAACCTAACCTAAGCTTTAATATTTAAAAAGGGAATTCTTAATGTACAGAATTAAACAATCACATTTTACTAAGTTTATCTTACACTGTAAGAATAAACGTTTACTAGTAAACTTTTCTAACATGTTTACACAAAATCATCCATCCATGAATATACTGTCTTTCATTAATGGTTTCAAACTTCCAATTCATGGTTTCGGTTGGTTTCTTATCAAATGTGGCAGGAATGTATGGAGTTATATTTTTTATTCCATTTTTAACCCAAATAGGTCTGTCTAGTTTCTTTGATAAAGGCACCCAAAACCAGTAACAGCTTCTAAACCCTGCTGAGGTTTAATTTGAAATGTAGATCTGTGCTGATCCAGCCAACAGCCTGTCTCGTCCTACAAGTCAATCATCTCGTCCATCCATAACGTCTTGAAGAAATCAGTCTTCACATATTTCTTGACCCAGTTAGGACATTTTCACTAATTTATCTTGGGGTTCAGGTTTCAGCCTTTTCTACCTTTTCCATATCTTAGAGCATAAAAGTAATAGTTTCCTGTAGTGCTGAAACAACAGATTAATTGTGATTAATCGATTATTGAAATTGTTAACTAATTTAGTAATCGATTAATCATTAACTGAAGTAAAGAGATTCTAAAACATACCTTTAGCTGACAGAACAACTCACTTAGAGCTGTGATTGTACCAAGATTGTAAAAAAAATACACAAATTTTGTATTTAAGATTTTTTTTTTATTATTCTCTGTTAAAATGCTCAGGCCAGAAGTCCTCAAGTGGTAATTTCTTTAAAAAGTCTTCTCTAAGTAAACTTAAACTATCCGATTAATAATCGATTAATCGAAAAATATAACCGAAAGATTAATCGATTTGCTAAATAATCATTAGTTGCAGCCTTAGTTTCCTGGTGCCTTCATGCACAGGAAAATGTTCTTGTATTTGCAGCATCAGAAACTGAATATGTGTTTAAATAAGATTTTAAACAATAAAACTTTGTCAAAATTAAAATCTGTGAAAAAAATTCATAAGATTATAATAGAGTTCATATGTTTGATACTTATATTTGTTAAAAAGAAAATAACGGAAACTTTATCTTAATGTTCTATCAAGTTAGATGTTCAAGGAATTCAGTTTCATCCAGATGGAACTCATTTATTCAGATCATTTATTTAGGATTCTTCTTCTGAAAAGAATCAGTTTAAAATTGTTTAATTTCAATTGTTTAAAATTGAAAAATTTCCAACCCTATTCATAAAAATGTCTGCAAAGATGCATTTCTCACGGCTGAAAACAAAAATGATAAGAAAACATATCATCCCTTTCTTTACTCATTTTCTTTATTGAATATTCTCTAATTTGATGTTTTTAACCCATTGGTGAGATACATGCTAAAATTGTTTTTGATTTATCAAAAATATATTTTTTAAGGTTTTATGTCATGTAATATATGTAAAATTGTGCTTAATGACAAAGTGGCAGGACATGAATATGTTTTGTTTTTCACAAGACAACATCAAGTGTTGATGTATGTCTTTATGAGCTTTGCAACATTTTTTTTGTTATCAAAGTTGCTAAAGGTCAGCTTGATATGTTTAATTTATAAAAATTGCACTTTGCATCTAACAACAAATTTTAATTCCACTAAACTTCTGCATGTAAACTGAATTCTGATTCGGTCTGAAATCTTTTGCAGCCCCATGCAATACAATAAATGCAGGATTCCCCCATGTTAAGATAAAATCCAAAGAATCCCAACTGGTTATCCCATCCCCGCTGAAGAAACGAATCCCAACAATACAATGCCGATTTGCTGCAACACCTTTGCTGTTCCCAGCAGGGCTTGAAGTAAACTTTAAACTGTTTTTTTTTTTTTTTTTTTATCAATGGCTATCAACCCCCCTTCCATAAAGCACAGGTTTGTAGGAATTGCAAGTAATATTTATCCAATCACAATATCCTTGCACCAAGGCTGTTGATCTCTACAGCTAGTAGTAATCAACTCAGATGTCTTCTGCATTTTTGCACCATATCTACTTATTTATTTTCCACATCAATGCCTTTTTACACCATGCCTCTCCCACACTGTTTACACTTGATCACTGCTGCACTGATTAATGAAAATGTTCTTTTTCATTGCTAAGCTGCTGCTCATTCACTCTCGGAAAACTATAGATAAACGAAATTTCGTTTTTTATACACTCTGTGTATACAAAATATACAAAGTATTTTTTGTAAGTTCAGCTGTTTTCATACAAAGATTACATTTCAAACCACAATTGGAAAATATTTGACAATTTGAGATTTTACTTCGGGAGTATCAGAGTAAAGATGGTTGGGTATTATAATTTTTAATTTTTTTTCTCTTTTTTGCGCTTTTAAGCTTTTTGTTTACATGTGATTATTAAAAACAAGGTATAATGATTCCTTTTACTAAACTCTGAACCATTCCATGTTCTATTATATAAAAACAAAGTAAAATACAAAGAAGTTGATCATTGTTAAAGCAAATTTGAAAGGATAAAAGGTTCAGGGGGTTTAAATAAAAATTCCTTTCAATTAACCATAACTTTGAAACAAATATTAAAATTTTAGTCCATTTGAAATTTTCTCATGTTTTAAGTCATAGGTCAAACTCTTTTTCATTTAAAGCTTCTTACTTGTTAAACTGTTTTTCCTAAATACTGCCTCTGTACTTAGGTAAGGATTCTCAAACGATTTCATATATCTTTACTATCTTATCTAGTATTCCATATTTGGTTTATAAATTCTTAGGACTGTGTAACCAAATTCAGCCAACAGGGGGCGCACACCTCACGTTCTCGCGTCATCGTTGCTGTTATCGCGATGTTTGAGCCGACATTTCGTGCAGAGACATCACGCAGAGAAGAAAAGACTCCCTTGTATGATTTAAACGTCAGTGTTTTAATTGACAAAAATCATCGGTAAGATTTCACATTCGACAGGCCTCTTAATCACACTTCCCAGGCGTCTCTGAAAGCAAGAGTTCCGCTCTTTTAAACCTCCAAAGCATGCATATTAGCAGGTTTCACCCAACAACCAAGGCTGCTAATGGGACGCTAGCTTGAATGGATGCCAATAGAAAATAATCACGCTGGTCCGGCATAGTTAGTTATTATTGTTTTTTTTAATATCCTTAAATGTTATTTAATCGGATCTTTGTATTTTTATGCACAGTATATATTCAGTATAAAGTTTGTGCTTTTAATCTCACATGTATGTTGCTACTTAGCATTAGCAAGCTAACCGAAACTTATTTTCTGTAAAATATAAGGAGGCTAAGGAGATATAGAGTAGATACATGTTGTTAGTAGCTGCTTGTAGGGAAAAGTAAGCAAATAAAATAGTGATGGTCCCATAAAGCATGTTGGACTTTATTAAGACATTAAAATAAATATAAGCTAAACCGAGACATAGCAAAATATCCTGATTATTTAGAAGAATTGGGTTGAAAGGACCAACTATGTCAAGAAACCAGCATTATATCTTATATATATATATATATATATATATATATATATATATATATATATATATATATATATATATATATATAGATTACATACGTGTGTTGGCATCGTTTTTCAAAGAAAATGGCAAAACATACTGAAAGCAATGTTTTATACATGTGCCTGGATGTCAAACAGATCCTTTGCTAACCTGTGACTCAAAATCAAAGGTCAGTCAGATACTGACTTCTTTTACTCTTTTTCAGTTGTTTTTACTGTTAGACTTGTAACTGCATATTCCAGTCCAAACATATGTGAAACACATGCTATGAAAAACTGTTATTTAACATTAACAGCACACTTTCTTTCACACATTAGTTTTGTGACACTTCAGGTTAAAAAAAGAAAAAAACACAGGGAATTTTTTCTTCTGCTTTTGTGTGTTTTGTTGGATGATCAATGTCTTTTCTTCAGAATGAAATTAGTTGGAAGAAGATGATACAGATTCTGAATGGCCTCATAACTTGATTTTTGCATAAAACCATGCATGACTTTAGCCCTTTGTTATTGGAGGAATTAAATGACTGAAGATTAATATTAATTTTATAAATAACTTGTTTGTATCTGTACTTTGGTCTCCAGTTCAGAATGAGTGTTAATGGAGTTCTGTACCAGCCAAGTCACCAAATCTTCAGTATCATTACAAGATAGAAAGTTGGAAATAGACTATTTGATGCTGTTTCATTGTTCTGGTAAAGGTTTGGTTTCCATGTTGCCTTGCCATGTTTCTCAAACTGGTTTTGGATTACATCATGTCTTCAGGGTTTGAGTTAGTCGAGGGGGTTCTGTCTATTGAACAAAGTAATTCCTGAACCGTTCT